TTGGTTATAGTTGTAAGTTGAGAACTACCTTCATTTATTTGTCATCTGTGGAGACATGTGTTCTCCCCTCACCTCATGGTATCTGTGGCTTTTCTTTCACTGGAGGTAGATTGCTGATTGTCAGTGACCGAGAAAAAGACTTTGCAGTGCTTGGCATGGTAACTTTAAGTATCAGTTTCCTCTTACCATAAAATAAAGAAAGAGTCAATATGTTGAGTCTCCTGCTCATGAGCCCCAGCGGCTTTGCTCTTGAGGGTAGTCTTGATGTTTGCTTGCTGAATATTCTCACATGATAGTGTTTTAGGACTACAATGAAGTGCAAGTGATTAAAATGTTAGGAATATATTTTATTGCTGTGGTTTCTAGAGTTAGGTGATCGGCAACATCTAACCCAGTGAAATTTCAAAAGTGGAAATCCCAGACAGACTAATAGCACAGAATATTATCTAAATGAAAATGCTTTTTGCACGGTAGAATTTTTGTGATGTATTCATCATAAAAAATACAGTTCTACTTTGTATAATGTTGCCCTTCATGATTTGTTGCCTCAGCTTATTTTGTAAAGCCATTTCTGCAGGAGTGGCATAGAGGTACTGCTGGTCTTGATGCTGATCACTATCAGATAGAGCAGTGGTTCTCAACCTTCCTAATGCTGCGACCCCAACCATGTGGTCGTAAGTCGAGGACTACCTGTATTTCCCTGCGGGTGGGGCAGGAGGAGGCACGCATGCTCTGCCTCCTCTCATGCGGCTGCACGCGGGCCGTCGCCCAGCAACCACCTCGGCCCGGGAGCGCTGCAGATACATGGTGCCGCCCCCCGCGCCGGCCAAGGCGTAGCTGGCAAGCGGCAGCGACGGTGCAGGCCTACCACCGGCTGGGCCACCAGCTGGCCCAGCCCAAGGGAGGTAAGGCACCCGCCAGGCCCCACACACGTCAGCAACCCTCCCTGCACCCGCCGGCCTCCCACCTCCCACCCCTGGCCCTCTTTTACTTACATTTAGTAGTTGCTCAGCAGGGAGGGGTGGAAACATCCAGAAACCTCGTCTTAGCTGTAGACAACTTGCAGCACCGTTTGCAGACTGGGGCTTTTGGCGGGCTCAGCAGGGCAGAGACAGCCTGGACAATTCCTATTGGCTTTTGAAAGCCAATAGAATTAGACTCTATTCAAGAGAGTCTATTCTATTGGCTTTCGAAAGCCAATAGATTCTATTGGCTTTCAAACGCCAATAGAATAGAGCAGTGGTTCTCAACCTTTTTAATGCCGCGACCCCCAACCAGTCGTAAGTCAAGGACTACTCAACCGGTCATAAGTCGAGGATACTCAACTGGTGCAGCACCGTTTGCAGAATGGGACTTTTGGCGGGCTCAGCAGGGCACAGACAGCCTGGACAATTCCTATTGGCTTTTGAAAGCCAATAGAATTAGACTCTATTCAAGAGAGTCTATTCTATTGGCTTTCCAAAAGCCAATAGAATAAAAGGGAGTAGCACAGCTAAGGAAAAGGGGAAAAAAATGGTGGTCTGCGTTGTTTGGTGACCCCCGTGAAATGGTCGTTCGAGCCCAAATAGGGTAGCGTCCCACAGAGAACTGAGAACTGCTGAGATAGAGTTTCTGAGCATTTGCATTCAGTTCCAGCCATTCAAATGTATAGAACTACTTCTTAGCTTGTAATCCTTCACTAAAAATATGAATCTTTCGTAGAACAAATTGCTTTTCATTACTGAACTGATTGAGAGCCAGTTTGGTGTAGTGCAGTGGCTCTCAACCTTTTTAATGCCGCGACCCCCAACCGGTCGTAAGTCGAGGACTACTCAACCGGTCGTAAGTCGAGGACTACTCAACTGGTGCAGCACCGTTTGCAGAATGGAACTTTTGGCGGGCTCAGCAGGGCAGAGACAGCCTGTTTGGCGACCCCTGTGAAATGGTCATTCGACCCCAAATGGGGTCCCGACCCACAGGTTGAGAACCACTGGTGTAGTGGTTAAGGCAACAGGCAAGGAACTGGGAGACCATGAGTTCTAATCCTGTCTTAGGCACAAGACAGTGTAGGTGTCTTTGGGCAAGTCTCAGCCATAGGAAGGGGAAAAAAACTGCAGGAATTTGTCTCGGCAGTATCTGAGAACTAGAAACAATTGAATGGAAGAAAAAACAACAACACTGAAGTGAATGACACAAAGATTCTAGAGGCATCACATGAGAAAGATACTAATCTTGCAAAGCCCTCCCTTTCGGTTCCTTTACAGATACTCCCCCCCTCCTTTTGGCTTCCTTTTGGAAGAAACCAATTTAGTTAACTATGTTTTACACTCTGCAGAATCCAGTAATCTAACTGAATTAGTTTTTCTGCTTGCGTTCTTTTTTTTTCTAAAAGCTTCATAAAATTACCTATATACAACAGCATATAAAAACAAAAGGAAAGAAATACAATACTTTTATCCAGTACAGCATAAAAAGATATTAAACACATGCCAAACCACCACAACAAAATGAATACAACATATAATACAATCACAAAGGTATATTTTTTTGAGGTTGTGGGCTTAGCATGTTCAAGATAATGGTTAATATCTTGGAACTGGCACCAAGAAGGCTCTAGTTCAAGTTCATCGTATTCAAGTTCATAGTTAACTAAATTGGATAGTTTGGGGCCAGTTAAATATTGCTTAGCCCTACCTACCTCACAGGTTGTTTGCTATGAGGAATCTCTGGAAGAAGAAGGTTGTTTATCCTGCTTTGAATTCTGGAGGAAAAGTGGGATATAAATCTAATGGAAAAATTAAAAAAATATGTATTGTAAAATGAGAACTTGTACAAAAAAATTTCTGTAGCATAACTCATAAACTAAGCATTCAAATTCAAATAGTTTCCTCCAGAAAACATAAGACGTATTCATTCATATATATACAGTGTGTGTGTGTGTGTGTGTGTGTGTGTGTGTGTGTCCACACACTGTATACTGTATATACTTTTACCATATCTTAATTCTGAAGATTGTTTTCTTTGTCTTTCCCTAGGTTTTTGATTATGTAGTTCAACAGCCAGAAATGAAATGTGCAACTTTTTAAAAAAATTATTAACTAAATATTTGTTTCATATCATGTAAGTGCCCATGACGTTCTGTGGCAGATGTTACACTAAGTTCTACACTATCTATACATACAGTATAATCAGGTGCAACTAAGTTCCCTCCCTTTTTTTTGTTTGACTTTAGAATGTGTGCCTGGTGAAGCCTTGGAAGATACTGTGTAGTGTAGCCATTTAATGGTCCGGAGCTTGTAAGGCAAATGCTAATGTACTGTTGGTAATTTATGGGATGGGTCTGAAAGAGTGCCAAGAGAGTTTGAATGGGTGATGTTTTCTGTTGCTACTGCTGTTGCCATTCAAATGCCCCTGGGAGATCTCAGAGGGGATGCAGTGGGGATAATTTGATGCTTCAGTTTTTAATGAGCAATTGAGATATATTCAGGAAATTGAGGATGAAGCTGAGTTCTTTGCTTAGATGGCCAATCTTGTTAGCCTGAGATTTTCCTCACTCACCTTTTACTGTATACTCCACTAAATTAAAGAGGGGTCAACTTGATTTTTTCTTAATACTAACTGAGTTCTCAACATTTAAGAAATACATTTCTCCTTTTTGCTCGTATAACAGTTTCAAAATATTTACTTCAAAATTACCTTCTTGGCTCTCTTCGGTTGTGACTATTTCTGCTGGTCCTCCATTTTAATTTGCACGTTGGATCCTGGATGTGTTCCATGTTGGGAATTAAGTTGAATATACAGGGTGTTTTTGCTTTTGCATCCAATGCTCAGGATACAAATCTGGAATCTTTGGAATCAAGCCAGAAATAGCACGTGTTCATTTCTGAGTCAGCCTATGTTTAAATGTGTTGGATTGAGGTAAATAAAATTGATGAGAAGTTAGGAATGGATCGTCTTTGCATGTACTTTGGATCTACTTTGCAACTGAACCACTGTTTCTCTTTACCACTGGTTTTTGGATAATAGGGGTTGGTTTTAATATGCTTCTCTGCAAAGAGTGAAAAATTTAAATTTGTGAATTTTGAAGTAGCAATTGAAGTTAATAGAGCTTAAAAGATTTACCATGATGGCTATCTCACAGTATCAGTAACTACTGATAACCGTTACACTTGTTATGACCTAAATTCTTAGCTGAAAATACTAGTTTCACTTCTTTCCCAATATTTGTCTGCAGTGATATAACTATAATATTGGGTGTTCCTTTTACAGTTTTTCTGGCAAAGTTCACAATCTGCTACACATATTAAAAACTGAACTGTATCTGCAAAACAAATAGTCTAGTGCATTCTCTGCATTTAGTAATGCCTAAATAATCCTGATGAAGTTTTCCCATTATTTCTTGTCACATCTGAGCTGGAGTAGCAACTCTATCATCATACAGATTTTGTATAATGCAAAGAATAGATTTCATGTGGTAGGCATGTTGTGTGTATATGATGATCAAGCATTTTCTATACAGTTCAATACTGTCTGTGGGGCTGGGTCAGAAGCCATAATGCAAAACTCATGGCACTCTTTTAACTGCCTTTTGTGATACCTCAGTCTGAGTGCTGCTTTTCCTTCATGATTCCTAATTAACAGCTTTCGGAAGCTGCTCTCATGATTTCAGAATGTGGTAATCCATGCCAGATCAGTTGCTGATAAAACAAGAAAAGTTCTTTATTATGACAATTGGCTCAGAAAATTACAGTGATAGGTGCTGCTGACAAGTTCTTCCTGGCAGTACATAAATTATCAGAGTCTGGAGTGGGCACTACTGAACCGTTCATATCTGAGAACATATTTCTGCCTGAAAGACATGAGTTTTGAGCTTTCATTCTTTCTCACCAGGAGATGAAAAAAAATCCCCATAGTAGCTGAAATCTCTTCTATGTGCTTCTGGGGTAATCTGCTACAGCATTAATTTCTCTTTTAACAATTCTTCCATCTTTTGAATATGTCCATTTATTTTCCTACTTTAGGAACGGTTGATGCTTTCAATTTTGCCCAGACATGTAGCGGATGAAATGCTGAAGGATATGAAGAAAGATGCAAGCCAAAAAGAAATGCAACAGTTTAATACCATGTATATGTATCGCCATGAAAATGTCAGGTAACGAATGTGGCTCTTTTAAGGAGGGAGTTCTGTAGATGGCTTCTGGTACTGACAAGGCCATCTCCTGGATCAGTACACAATAACTAAAGAGAAAATATAATCCAATGCTAAGCCATTATTTGAAGTAAATCTTTATCGGCACAATGAGTGTCTCCCCAGGAAAAAGTAATTATGTAATTCAATTACGTAATTCACAAAACACAATTCAAGCAAAATAACTTTCCAAATTCATCACAGCATATAACATGCAGCTCAGAAGCAGATGGAATAATATAATTATTGTGCCTAGTATTGAAATAAAACAACAGAGCAAAAGTAGGGAATTGTTTTCTTCATGTCACTCTATGTAAACTGGTTTGCGTTTCTCCAGCACCCTGAACTTGTATGATTGAAATTCTAACAGCCAGATATGGGGCTTTGTAGTGGTGATAGGAGTTTAAGTATGGGAATGGAATGATGTGACACTGGGAAGCCTCCTGATCCCAACCCTACCCTTACATGTTTCCTAAAAGCTGAACAAAAATAGTTAGGTTATTTCACTGTGTTATTAAGATAGCAGGTAGCCTTCTGCGGCCATCCACACAGTTGGGAGTCAGTTGCAGCCCCTAATGTCTTAAACACTCTACACTTCTGAAGTAGAAGAAGCTAGTAAATATCAATACGGAGTAGAATTAAAGCAGAAAATCAAAGGACTGATGACACTGAGACTGAATTTCAGATGAGAGAAACTAATAAATCAAATGGTACAACAGCCATCATAAATTGTTTTTGCTGCAGCTAATCTAACTGATGACCTCTCACCTGTTTTGGCTCTCATGTCTTTCATTCTACAGCATCCTTTTTGCTGACATCGTAGGTTTTACGCAGCTGTCATCCGCTTGCAGTGCCCAAGAATTGGTGAAACTTTTGAACGAACTCTTTGCTCGATTTGATAAACTAGCAGCTGTGAGTTTCTTAATCAATCTTCATTATTTGCTTGACATATAATTCTGGAAATCCTTTAGATCTTTGGAGCAAGTTATGTGTAATTCAACTCAAACTACCCTTCTTATTTGTAATTATGACTGTGTGAAGTTTGAAGCATATTAAAAATGGAGAAGAAGCAGAGAAATACAATTCTGATATACATGCAGCAATAAAAGGGGAGAAGATTTACCGGAGATGAGGTTAAGCTCTCCTGTCCTTCTGCTTTTCCCCCCTCCATTTTTAAAGTGCTCTTATTAAAGAGCCATTCTATGTTTTTTAAAAAAATTCTGGCTGAAATTAGATATTTAAAAATAAGGAATACCAGCAAGAACCACATTCAAATATAAAACATTTTTTGAGATTATACTGAAAGTTCTGGATAAATAAACATATCTTACTGCAATATATTCAACTTCCAAACAAGATTCTGTGCACAGCTGATGTCATACCTAAATGTATTCAATTATCAGAATAAGATAGATTTAGTACTTTTTAATTATAAGGTTTCTATAGCATTGCTTCAGAGATTTGATTTGACTATATACATTTTTTTTCAGCCATCTGGCTAGGGCTATGGCTATTGCATCTGGAGGGCAATGTTTGCACAAGGACAATCAAAAATCTCATAAATAGGACTAAAGATAATATAGGGCAGTGGTGGCAAACCTATGGCATGTGTGCCAGAAGCGGCACTCAGAGCCCTCTCTGTGGGCATACGTGCCATTGCCTCAGCCCTGCCTCCTCCTGTGACCCCCTCCTCACCAGCAGTCCCCCGGAGGAGAGTCACCCCTAAGTGTGGCCCACACAGAGCAGCGCAGCCATGGACATGGCAGCCAGTCAGCGTAGACAAGACTCTCCCCTCACACCCCATCACAAACAGTTGATGCTGCGGGGTATGGGCAGAGGGCATGGCTGCAATGGTGCAACTGGGCTGCCTGGGCAATCTGCGGCGGGCCCTGGAGATGGTGAGTGGCCATGCGGGCAGGTGGGGGCGGGGCAAGGGGTGGAATGAGGCGGGGCCAGTTTTTGGGCACTCGGTCTATAAAAGGTTCGCCATCACTGATATAGGGGAATGAAGCTGCTATAAACATGATTATTTAAAGTATTTAAATTAAAGTATTTAAACTATTTAAAGTACAGGTGGTCCTTGCCTTAGGATCACAATAGAACCCAGAATTTATGTTGCTGAGGAATGTGTTAAGTGAGTTTTGCCCCATTTTACGACTTTTCTTGCCACATTTGTTAAGTGAATCACTGCAGTTATTAAGTTAGTAATACAGTTGTTAAGTGAATCTGACTTCTCCATTGGCTTTGCTTGTCAGAAGGTTGCAAAAGATGATAACATGACCCTGGGACACTGCAACCATCATAAATATGATCCAGTTGTCAAGCATCCAATGTAAATCATGTGACCATGGGGATGCTGCAATGGTCATAAGTGAAAAATGGTCATAAGTCACTTTTTCAGTGCCATTGTAACTTTGAACAGTCATTAAATGAACTGTTGTATTGGACTACCTATACATGTGTTTATGGATGTTACTGAGCATTGGAATAAGAATTATTTCAGAAATTACTTTAGATCTATTGCACATTACTTTAATTTTTTATTCGACTCATGATAACTATTTTGTATTAGCAGCCAAATCTGTTTTGGAGATGTTTGCTTGTCAAATTAATTAATTAATTTTGCAAGGTATTATTGCTATCACCTATAATTAATTATTTTATTATCTTGAGAAACTTCTTAGATTAAATATGCTAAAGAGTAAACAAACTGAAAACTCTACTTTAGCATATATTACAATGTTATTTAATTAAATAGTGATAATTAATTAATTATGAGATTTCATTTCAGAAAATATAAAAAATAAAGCCTCCAAATTCTTTTATCACAAATGTGGAGCCATCTTATCCAATTTGGATTTTGCCAAAATTATTCTCCTACTTACTAGAAGTGAATGTTTCAGCAATATGTAAATTATTGTAGGTTAACTTGTAAAAGAATTACAAAGAGTGATTCTGATTGAAGATTTTATTATCAAATCGATCTATCTTCATGAAATGTTATAGAGATTTCAGATGACAGCATGTTACACATATAATTCCCCCTGTATTGTCCCACTGTTGTTTTTTATAATAATAATAATAATAATAAAGTTGGAAGGAGCCTTGGAGGTCATCTGGTCCAACCCCCTGCTCAGGCAGGAAACCCTACACCATTTCAGACAAATGGCCGTCCAGTCTCTTCTTAAAAACTTCCAGTGTTACACTGTTAAAAAATGTTTAGGAAGTAAATATAGTATATGAAGATTTTGGGGACTGTTTTGAGAACTATGAAGGTGGAACCACATTCCGGAAGATGTTTGAGTATTTACTTTTGCCAGAAGGTAAAAGCTGCTTAACTCCTGTTGGCAACTTCTTAAATCAGATATTTTCTAGGGATCGTGCTGCCACAAGAGGGCATATGATGTGATCCCAGAAAAACACACAATGCTATAAGGAATTGTCGGAAAGAATTATCTGAGCACTCAGTTTTTTAATCTTGCTATGTGATTTAATTTGCAATTCCCTGATCATTCATGTTATATTCTTTTCTGAACATACTCTAATGTATCTGAATATTTCTTGTATTATCATACTCAGAACCTGAGATAGTGCTTGAGCCATGAAGAATAGAATGGATTTTTATTTGTGATAACTTCAAAAGTACAGCATACTTCTTTTGCATTAAGGTTCCGAAAAGGAATCACATGTAATTGGAGTCATATATTATCAGCTAGGGATGTTAGTATGGTACACCATAATTGGAAAGGATTGTAGGTTAGAGGATGAACGAGGCAGGGAAACCATGGCAGCCTTTTCCATGATTCAACAATAGGTTTAAAAGTAAAATGCAGGTTTCTGAGACCTGAAAATCCTAAACATTTACCTTTTTTTTGTTTTTGTTTTTAAAAATGGCATTCTTATAGAGACACCATCAACTGCGTATCAAGATTCTGGGTGACTGCTACTACTGTATCTGTGGATTGCCAGACTATCGTGAGGACCATGCTGTTTGCTCAATCATGATGGGTCTTGCTATGGTGGAAGCTATTTCGTAAGCATTCACACTTTGCAAATTTGCATGCTGTTTTTGATTTGGGTTGTTGTCTTTTCTTTCTTTTTTTCATTCATGTTTTTCTCTTTTCCCACATGAAAAACTCTTGGTTCATGAAGCTGCCCAGGAATATTTTTTGTGAAATATATTGTTTTATAAGAATGTTATTGAATTACAGATGTGAGGGCCATATTTGCTTTAGGTAACTTATTAAAGTCATAGAGTTGCAGGAATGAGATGGGTGGCAAATAAATGTAATAAATACATAAATAAGCCTTACTGCAAGATTCTCCATTTGCTTACAGAACTCTTTCCTTCTTCTCTGTTGTCCTACCATAATTAAAGACAGTACTGTTCATTATATCATTATTTCCTGACTACATGCATATATCCTTCTTTATTTTTCACCTAAAAGTTAACTGTGTAGAATTCTTCCCCTAAGTGTGCCTGCTTCTAAACAGTAAATTTTCATCTTAGCTTATCTTTTCCAGCTGGAGATTCAGAAAAAAAATGTCTCCTGGTCCTTTTTCCATTCATCATGATAAATAAACAATATTTTTCCAGCTAATTTTGTCTCTTCTGTAAAACAAAATTCCATGCTTAGAAAAGTCTTAGGAATGGAAAATGTTGGCCTTGAAAATAAGTATTTATGGAAAATTACAGGAATAGCAACATTGAAATTAAGTTTTGCAGCTCCATTATAGAAACAAGTTAGAGAAATAAAGGAGAAAAGAAAAGCAGAGCTGGATTATTAGGCAATCTTTGGAATCTGGCACAAGTTCAGATTTCACAAGAATAAACAAAACTATGTTCCCTCAGTGCTCTAAATAGGATTGTTGACAGTGACAGAGCTCATCACTTTTTGTTGGCCATAGTTATTCCAGCAGTACTTAAATGGGCAAGGTTTCACGGGGGACCCTTGTGCTGTAAAGAAATAGCTCTATTACTGAGTTATAGCTTTTTTCCCCTGGTGCTATCTAAAAAGCCATATCTTGCATTTAGAATTAATTTTTACTAGTGTGCCTATTCCTGTATTCAAATCCTCTTCAAAACCTGAGTTTGTTCATGATGGCTGAGATTTAGGGCCCCTGTGGTCTACCCACATCTGGAGATTACTATATTAGGGAAGTTTGTGCTCCCTTAATGGAACCGAAACGATTATAGCAACATCATAATGCTTGTTTATTTTCTTCCTGCCACCCTTAGCAGCAATGAAGCTCTATGCACAATAAAAGCAGCCATAGCAAAGCCTTCCAAGTACAGAAAATAACCATTCTTTTGAGATAAATATTGCTTATTATTAATTTGTTCCTCTAAAGCTATGTAAGAGAGAAGACCAAAACAGATGTGGACATGCGTGTGGGGGTGCACAGTGGTGCTGTCCTTGGTGGAGTCCTAGGGCAGAAACGTTGGCAGTATGATGTATGGTCCACAGATGTAACTGTAGCTAACAAGATGGAAGCAGGCGGCATCCCTGGGTAAGTGCCTCTTAGGGACTGTTTTTTTCCCCCAGGACTATTGTTATAAACGTATTACAAAGAATCATATAGCTCTAACTTGTGTTTAGAAGGCACGTTAATAATGCAAACTTAAAAAATTCAAAACCAGATCATCTGTTGAAAACACTATCTTGATTTAAGGCAGTATTTATTTTTAACTAGCAGCTAGACTCACTGTTTTACAGTAAAAACAAGGTACCTATTCTTAGGATATGCTTTAGGATCACTTAGAAATGTATAAACACATAGTATGCATTGCATTACATTGCATTTATATGTTATCTATTTTTGGAGTCTCTAGGTGGCAAACAACCTGGTAAAAACAACCCTCTGAAAAATAGTAAATAAACTCCTTATAAAAGCAAAATTGACAAAACCAATAAAAATAAGCAGAAAATGTACAAGGTCATGTTTCCACCAGATTCCAGCCTTTGCTCACATGTCTTCATCTTACCCTAGGAGGTAAGAAAGCTAGGAGAGAAAGAGCAGATGGGATCTCTGTGGGGTAGAGAATGCCAAAGTGTGGAGGCAATGATTGAAATTACCTGCTTCCAGAGTCCTTTGTGATTACAATCTTGAATGTATAATACCTTGAAGGAGTTGATCCTATTCAATCTGACTGGATTTAGGAGATTGCCTATGTCCTTTCAGCAAAGGTTCTTTTTTTTTTTTTTGCTTTAATATTACAGAGATTAAGATCCATACATGCATTCATTTATGCTGTTTAAAATGGGGAGAAAGTGAGTTATAAACTAACCTTAATTATATTCATATTGCATGCACTACTAACAATAAATATTCTACAGTTCAGTTTAGTCACATATGTGCCGATAAGCCACAAGCACAACCAAAGCCCAGCTCTAAAATAACAACATAAACAAAATATAAAACAAACATAAAAATCAAAACCAGATAAAACTACAAAAATAAAATTAAGAAACAAGTTAATGGAGTTCATGAACTTAACTAGAATATTTCCTGAAACCACTGACTTTTTAACATCTTTCTGAAAGCCATTAAGGAAGGGGTTGGTCTGACCTTGGTTAGGAATCTATTCCAAAGGGCCAGTACAACAACTGAAAAGCAACACCACCTACCTTTGGTTTCCTTCACATTCCAGTAGTGCAGATAGTGAGGAGTTTCTAGTTTGTGAAACTGTAATATTTATGTCCACTTGGGCAGTATCCAGTTGTCGCTTATTTTGAAAAGGGTATCCTAAAACATGGGAAAGATAGTACTTGATAATGTATTATTGTGGGCTTCGGGGAAAGGAATGATGGACTGAAGTTGTCTCTGTGAAAGCTGAACTGATAACTGTAGCAAAGAGCAAGGAACTGGTGAGTAGACAGGTTCCTTGGAACGTCTCCAGATAAAGCGATGATGGAAGATTGCCCATATTTGCTCTGGATGGCTGCTACCTGCCAGGAGACCACAGGTCAGCAGTCTCCCACCAGTGTGAATGTCGGGAGACGATGGGAATGGCCATCTTGCTTGCAACCATTGTCAAGCACCTTTTAAAGAATACTAAGTTTGCTAATTTTACTTTCTAATCACTTTCAGAAATTGCTTATTTACTTATTAACTACTTTTAAGTTTAGAGACCTTCAGAATGTTAAGTTTGAAAATACTGGGTGAATTTTTCTTCAATCCTTAATGAAAAAAATTATAAGATAAATAATTTAAGTAAATTTAAGCTAAGTAAGATTTCAGTCTTAGAAAGTTATAAATGGATTAAAGGTGCAGATAAATTTGGAATATAGAAAATTTTACTATAATATTTTTGGAATGAATTATAAAGAACAAACAGCTTCTTGTGGGAAATAGAGCTGATTTGGTTATTGCAAGATGTAACAAAGATAAGTAATTTTATTATTAAAAATTGGATACTAGAGAGGACAAGACTCTGGGCTGAGAGGGAAAAAAAAATACAAGCTCACATTCTGTGTTAGTTAACTGGACCTACAAAATAATGCAAAATGTTGTAACACTGAAAATGTTAAAGGAGAATTTTGAAGAATGGAGCCAGAAATTAGTGGCTATAATATCAACAGTGTCAGTCATGATGTTTGACTCTTTGTTCAAAAAGATATTACCGAAGAAATGATAGAAGTGGAACAAATTTATCTGACAAAATAGAGATGGTACTTAAAGTGGATTTACAAATGGCAGGCTAAAAAAATAACTTGGAAAAGGATGTCTCACTGAATATACAAAAAAACCCCACTCTGCTAATGTTTTAAAAATCAAAACAGAAATATAAATGAAAACCAAGAAAGTCACCTTTATAATTTTTTTCTTATGAGATTTATAAAAGAGATTTATTAAAAACCTGAAAAACTCTGTGTGACGGGAAAATGTAATGGAATGTGTGGATGATTCACACATTCCATTACATGAGGGGAAGAGATACTGCCTAGAAAACAGTCAGAGAAGAGAGGCAGGAACTTCATGGTCAGAAAAATAGACTTATGAAGCCCATGGTTGAAGCAGTTAAAAGTGACTGTGGAAAGTTTGTACTTACAGACATGGAGGATTCTGTTAATGTAGCCTTACAGTAAAGTAGAATTAGTTAATCTTGTCATATTTTCCTGTCTGGTTTACCTAGGAGGACTGACAGATAAAGAAGAAATGAAGAGAAATCAAATCCTATGAAAATATTTGAGTGAACTAAATATTGAGACTGTTAGAAGTAAAAAGAAAGAATATAAAGTTGTATATTTGATCAAGGTTAAAACAAGATTGTTTGTTACTATTGGCAGCCTTTTAGGGACTTCCTGCTGACACCAAAATTGAAAATACTGCGTTTTATGGACTTCTCTATAGATATGTGATAGGATAATGGATGAATAAATAATTGTTTGTAACTCTGGAGGTGATGAAATTTGTTACTTGTGATGAAATTTGGAAGCAATTTCTTTATGTATTTATTTTCTCTTTATTATATTCTTACTTTTCTCCTTTTCCTTTTTCCTTGCCCTTTTACTTTTTCTTTAAGTTTACTAGTATAGGTAAAATAAATAAAATAAATAAAAATTTATGAGGGATATTATACTGAAAAATACTTTCTGTTTATTTCAGGACAGTAATGTATTCTATTTGTGTAAATTCTGAAAGTCCTTAAAGTTCTGGGCTTTTTCTTCAACAGCTCTCACATTTTCTCCTTTATTAAGGCTGACTGCATTTTCTGTGACCCTTTTAGGCGTGTGCACATCTCTCAGAGCACCATGAACTGCTTAAAAGGTGAATTTGAGGTGGAACCAGGAGATGGTGGGTCACGGTGTGAATACCTAAAGGAAAAGGGGATCACCACCTACCTCATAGTAGTACCGAAGCAGCCACTCAAGAATGGGATCAATGGGGTAGTGAGTATTCCTTTCACTAGGCCCTTTGAAAAGAATGGAATTATATATCAGCTTTGTTAGGATCAGAGGAAGGAGAAGAACGTGTTCTCATCTATCTTTTTCCTTTTAGCTTCTTTATTGTGATATATTGTGATTGTCAGATTGATGCTTGATTTTAATTCAGATTGATTACCTTGATACTACTGCTGTTATAAGCTATTCTAAGCACTTGTATGTTTTTCTTTCTAAAACAAAAGTTATTTTGACTGGGACTTCTCTGCATTTAGAGAAGGAAATTGTGACAAGAGGTGTAATACCTTTTGGACACTTAACCTAGCCCTATACCCATTGTTCTCTTTCTTTTTCTGTTTCATGTTATAGAAGTTATCTGTCTCATCCTCTCATGGGAACTCACCTCAATTGATCAACACCAAAGAATGCAATGGGAGCATTAATACAACCTGCACAACTCCAGATGAGGCAGAAGAATCGGATACTAGGGTAAAGGGGCAGAATGGATAGAGAAAGATAAATACATGCTTCATTGAGACGTGTTCCAAGAGAAACTGCTTATGTGTAAAATATAAAAACCATGTATATTAGCATATGTGCATAGATTGGGGTTTTTTGTGGGCAGAAAAAGGATCATTGCTAAAGTCCTTCTAGAGTAATGTACATTTTAAAATGCTTTTGAAAAATAAAATCTTTAAAATGGAATCAATAACCAGTTGACCAATAACCAGGTAATAAAACTAACAGGAAACGTAAGAGCAGTAAATCCAGCATTAGGCAATTTAAAAAAAAATACCCTTTACATGGGTGCAGGTTGTGAGGGAAGGAGGAGAAACAAAAGACTTTTGTAGCAAAGTTCCAAACATGAGAGAATTCTGTGTAAAGAAGCCCTCTAATAAGTACTTGCCTATCTTTACGCCTCTGATGAAGATTGGTATAAAGTTCAGTCAGGCTTCTTGATTTGTGCCATCTGTTACACTTCTGCTAGGGCAGGGGTCTCCAACCTTGGGAACTTTAAGACTTGTGGACTTCAACTCCCAGAATTCTGGGAGTTGAAGTCTACAAATCTTAAAGTTCCTAGAGTTGGAGACCCCTGTGTTAGGGAATAATAAGAAACTATTTGCATGCAGAGAATGTGTTTTACAGGTGAACTATATCAATGGCGGTTTTCCTTAAGCACCATGGAATTAGTTCCCTGTGTTCTTAAAATAAATGTAATCCAGTGTAAAACTGCTAAGCACTCCAGTCTATACTTGCTAAGTGATCAAGCAATTATATACTAAGCACTAAGTTCACCTAGTGCAGTGGTTTTCAACCTGTGGGTCGGGACCCCATTTGGGGTCGAATGACCATTTCACGGGGGTCGCCAAGCCACGCTGTCCGCCATTTTTTTCCCTTTTTCCTAGCTGTCCTACTCCCTCTTATTGATGGTCACACCCACTTGGGGGTCACCACAACATGGGGAACTGTATTATGGGGTCACGGTATTAGAAAGGTTGAGAACCACTGGCCTAGTGTATAGTTGAAGCCTTAATATATAGGTTGCATACTATTTCCCTGCTATTTCAGATATTATACAGTTGATACTTTAACTTACTTGGTTTGAACTTGTCCTAGTTTTGTTGCCTTTTGGGTAATATTAACAGGATGTTAAGATGACTGTGTGTCAACTGCTGTATGTTAAGGAGATATATGATTTTCTTCAGTATATTTCCAGGATTGGAATCTATCAAGCAATAGAATTGTGGATTTGAGGGCTTAGATTGGCTAAAGGGGTTATTTTATATAATTGGAAGAAGAAATCTATGCTTGATTTGCTGCAATATTGCTGATGTGTATTGCTTGCTAACATTTAATTAGTCTTTGGGACAAAGAAGATGACTGTGTCATTATATGGTAAAAGTTTTAAAAACATTTTGTTTGCTGTACTTTTTGATTTTGTAGTGGAGTTGATATTGATGGGGATTCTCACTCATGCCGCTCATGATTGCCCTAAAGATGCTGTTCAAAAGACAACTGTTGCCTTTTGAACTGCAGCTTTGAATGGAGTTACAGGTAGTCCCCGAGGTATGAGCCTAATAGAGCCTGCCCATTAGGCTCGTAATTGTCAAATGAATCAGACTCAATATTACAACATTTTAAAATCAAACTCATTAATTGAATCAAATGGGTTATTAAATGAACGAAGATTTGATTTACTATTTCCTCCGATGGCTGCCTGAAATGAGAGACTTTTCCTGTCGCTGCTGCAGGCTGTTTCCAGCTGCAAATCAGATGTTTCCAGTTTCAGTAACCACAGTACTGTATTTAATGTTTTTCATATTATTTATTTATTAATTTAATACATTTTTTTAAAAAAACTTGAGTAGCGCCTCCTCCAAAATCAGAAAACATTGCAAAGATGTTTTCTTTGCACATTGCACAGAAAAAAAGTGTGCGTGTAGTGTGTATGTATAAAATTGCAACATAGTTTCATGACAAAGTGACACATAAGGGGGGATATGTCAAATTAAGCATTCAGGAGAAGTATATGCTCCTGCTACAACTGCAATACAAATAGTAGTAAGACAGGTAAAAAATAGCAACAAGGGCAAGTGAGTGGCATTCAAGTGTCCAAATCTGAGCAGAAAGTTCAGAAATGCAAACAATATTTCCAACTGTTAATTTCAGCTGACTATTTCAACATAATACATTATACAATTCTTTTTTGTAGATCTTTTGCCTATGTCCCTGGTGTGGCAACCATGTGTGGCAACATGACTACCATTCCCTTCTTTGTTCCTTGTTTTTTTTTTTTTTTAAAAGAGTTATTTTAATTTAAAAATTAAATGGGAAATTGTATGTTTAAATTGTATGGTAAATAGGTGTGTTTTTTTAAAACAAAAAGTGGTCAAAAACAGAGATGAAGTTAAGCTGGGCAGGAAGAGAGCCTCTTCAAAGAGATGGGGAGAGGTGGGAGTGGAGAAATAGGTGAGGTAGCAGAGAACCAACCTATCAGCCTACTTGGTATAAAAGAGTCACCTTAAACTGCAAGATGGGTGACAAATAAATTTAACAAATAAATGAAATTGTGCTTTTTAAAAAACAAAATCTTGTTTAATTAAATTTCAGGAGAAAGTAAAATACAACTTTTTATTTGCCTTCTTTTCTGTCTAGGTAGTGAATCCTTCCTTTCCCAACCCTCGAAGGCGTCTTCGCTTACGTGACTTGGCCGAGAGAGTGGTGGATGCCTCAGAAAACGAGCAGGAACTCAATAAGTTGCTTAATGAGGCCTTGCTGGAGAGGGAATCTGTGCAGGCGTAGGTCTCTTTCACTTCCACCTTGGAGCTAATTTGTGCTTTTTGCTTTTACTCTCAGCAATCAATGTCCACTGCTGTTTGGGTTTCAGATTTTCACCATGATTCAGGTCCTTGTCCTACTTTGGTTGCTATTTTTTATTGTGGGAAACAATATTCTGGAGACTTACTGTATTTACTTTCTACTTTTCCTCTATCTTACAATTCAAGCTTTAGATAATTCAATCTCTGCAATATAACTAAAAAAAAAAGCTTCGCACACAGCATTTAATAGAATATGCCATTATTTTAGTCCTCATACACTTGTATAAAACTGAAGAACAAGCTATCCTCAGCATAGCCAACTGACTTTTCAATCATGATTTAAGCTGATAAGGTGGTTTTTCAAAATAAAATCAAGACTTAAATAACATCTAGGGGGATTTTAAAGAATTTCTTAGGGACATACCAAGCCTCACAAGTAACAGTGATCAGAACAGTTGCTTTCTTCCTGAGGGCTCAAAGAGGTAATGCCAGAACTGAGATAGATGGGCCATCTGGAAGGAGGCAGCTTTTTATTTGCTGAGATAGGAGTTCAAAAGATCCATGCCGGATCAGAACAAATACTCTTCTAGTCCAGCATTCTCCTAAGGCTAAATAAAATTCCCTTGGAAATCCACAAGCAGAATATTTCCTCCCAGAGGTAGGCAATTAAAGGTAAAGTGATTTTTCTTGAAGTCTCAGTGACATTGGACTACCATTTTACTAGTATTCTAAAAATCCCATATGTCCTAGATGTGGATCCTAACTATCTGACATGTTCTAAATATCTGACAGGCTAAAAGGCAGGTCCACCTATCGCCTCTCCATGCGTTTCATTGATCCTGAGATGGAGACACGTTACTCTGTGGAAAAGGAGAAGCAGAGCGGTGCTGCCTTCAGCTGTTCATGTGTGGTCCTGTTCTTTACTGCTATGGTGGAGATCTTCATTGATCCACGGTTAGTACAGCTAGATCTTTGAAGCTATGCCCTTTTCAAACAGAGTTGTTAGAATACAGGTAGTCCTTGACTTATGATCACAATTGGGACTGGAAAATTCATTATTAAGTGAGGCATTGAGTTACTACACCCAATTTTACAATCTTTTTTGCTGCTTGATTTGGCTTGTCAGAAACTGGTTGGGAAGGTTGCAAATGATGATCACGTAATCCTGGGATGCTGCAACCATTGTAAATGTGAGCCAGTTGCCAAGTGCCCAGATCATGATTGTATGACTGTGAGGAACATATCTTTTAGCACTGTTGTAACGTCAAACAGTTGCTAAATGAATGATTGTAAGTCAAGGACTACCTGTAGTGCTAAGGATGAAATTAAATATTTCATTACTAGACGGACAGGTAATGTGGTTAATGTGGTGATACAGTGCCTGGAGGCTGATAAGTTCTGAATGGGGAGAAATAGGTTCTGAATGAAAACCCACAAGTCAGAGTCAGTTTGGGTTTATAGCCTATTTTTTCCAGGGATATTCAGTCCCTGACTCTGAATGGAGTTGTACTCTCCAGCTCAGAGGTCTGAAATTTAGGAAATTCTGAGACTCACAGCTTCTGCTTAAAGAGCAGGTAGTAATTGGGACTAGGAGAGGTTTTGTTCATCTTATGTACTCATTACAAACAATATTGGCCAAAACGCCTGGTCACAGTCACTCATACCCTCATCACCTCCCACTGAGATTACTGTAAAATTCTCTACATGGAAGCTATAGCTGGTACAGAATGCTATATAATTTTCTAAGGTAAACCAGACGAAGAAACCAATATCATATAGGCTTAAAGCTGCTTTTATTAGAACAGTTAATAGAATCTTGCAAGCCTGAATGTGCTTCCCTCCTCCATCCCTTCATGTGAATTAAGGGACATTTTATTAAGTTTGTTTCTTGAAATGGGCTTAAGCCATATTTCTCTGATCATTGGCTTGTGAATGGATATTCCCACTCTCCTTCAAGGCCACTCCCTATTCCATCTACAACAAGCATGTCAAACTCACAATGCCATGTGACATTGCGCGACGTATTGCGACTTTTCCCCCATTACTGGCAATGGGGTGGGCACAGTTTCGGTGTGACGCATCCGGCCTGTAGGCCGGCAGTTTGACATGCCTGCTCTACAATATCACCCAAAGCAATGATCTCTCTGCTTTGGAAGCTAAAGAGCTTCCGGGTGCAAATCAAGATGTTTGTAGTTACCTTTAGAGTTATAGTTCTAGACCTGTTTAATTGAAGAACCCCCTTTTATTATATTTGTGGTTCCATGTGGTTCCAGACCTGGTTAATTGATGAACGCCCTTTTCTTGTATCTGCCCATTAAACTAGATGAAATAGGACTAACTTCCTCCAAATCCTATGGAACTTTACTTGGAAATTGGTATTTTTAGTACCTGTCCCTATTCTTTTGAACTCCTTCTGGCAAAAATTTGGTCAGCTTCATGCCTCTTGGGCTTTAGGACAATTGTGAAGACCCACTTGTTTAGTTGTGCCCAGAAAGAGGGTATGTGGGCACATGAAGGTGGTGATTGCAGAAATATAGCATTTACATGCATTTTTTTCATTTTTATATTTTTGATGTTTTTTATATATATTTGGGGTCAGTGTGTGTGTGTGTGTGTGTGTCAATATTTTTTTATGTCAGTCTTATCTACCCAGAACCTTCAGGAATAGGTGGCAAGCAACAAGAGTGAAACAATTTTATAAAATAATGCCAAAAATTATGTGCCAAAATATTTTTTCATAACAGGGAATTTGACTACCTTTGCAATCAGAATAAAATATTGATCTTTGATCTTCCTCTTTATATCCAGTGGTTTCTTTTTTATTTTCTACTCTGCTGCAGGCTGCTAGCAAATTATGTGACATTTGTTGTTGGTGAAATCCTTCTACTCATCTTGACTCTCTGTTCACTTGCTGCCATCTTTCCCAGGGTAAGGTCTCCTCCAAAACACACAATTGTTAACTATTGTAAGAATCTCACCCTTTGCCATTCTTCAATGCCAATACAAAGTTTTTCCACAACTGATGATACTGTTTTCCAGATTTTTGGAAGAGAAACCTGAAAAAAGGAAAACTGCAATCCTCCCAAATTAAAACACACTGATCCTACCCATATGAAAACAATGGCATCATCCACACTCAAGATGGAAAGTCATAGAACTGAAAATCCACATAAATGCATATGCACAGCCATACACACAAGAAGCAAATATAGGAGTCCTACTATTATAGCTCAGGTAGAACTTCAAATAGGATCAGTGTGTTTTAATTTGGGAGGATTGCAGTTTTCCTTTTTTCAGGTTTCTCTTCCAAAAATCTGGAAAACAGTATCATCAGTTGTTATAAGTGGCAGTAGCTCTGGGGTGATAAAAAGGCACTGGGGCATTTTTTCTGCTAATAATCTATAGTGTCTTCATAGCACCACCCAGCCATCACTGAAGTACTATGAAGTTTTTCCTTGTGGCTATTTTGGGCAGAATTTGGGACAACAATGAATGACTCTAGAAAATGCAACTAATTGCTAATAGGGAGATGGCTAAAGATACTATGGACTGAGGCCAAATTGTTTGTATGCAAAAAATAGTAATGTTACTTAGCTACTGTCTCTCTTCCATCCCTATTCCCCATAGGAAATTAACATGATCCTTATTTTCCTAGTCTATCAGTGATAGGTGCTATATCAGTGCTATAATAAATTTAAATAAGAAATAGTGCATTTTTATTATTACAGGTTTTCCCTAAAAAGCTCGTGTCTTTTTCCACATGGATTGACAGAACTCGTTGGGCCAGGAACACCTGGGCTATGTCTGCCATTTTCATCCTAACCATGGCTGACATTGTAGATATGGTAAGCAAAGATTAAAAAAAAGAAAAGATAATTTTTCTTTCTTGATGTCATTGTATCCTGCTAGCTTTCTAGCTGGAGGTGAAGAAAAAATTGAGAAAGTGTTAAAAACGGATTTTTAATGAATAGATAATAGACAGGATTAATGTTTGTATCTTGCTCCCTCCTCATTCATTCTCCAAGACTCCAAAGCAAATTAAAAAAAAACTTGAAACATCAAAAACATGGTCTTTTCTCCAGTCCTATTTGACACCTGCTGTGAATTTCTTTTCTGGCTGACTTGATAAGTGCATAAAGAGTTGTACAGTGGAAATCATTAAGGGAAATTAGTAAAAAGCCAGCTGCAGTTTATTATTTTTAGTACCTGTTAATAATTGACCAGACCTTGAGCTCTTCTGTGCTAAAACTGATATGAAAATACTGCTATTTTCAGGGTGGTAAACTTTGATGAGCTTTCCAAAAGGGGTGGGGAAAGAGAATGAAGGCTGTGTTTTGTTGTTTTTTTCCTGTCTCTCTAAAAAAAATGGCACAAGGATTGTTTATTGCAGTGCCTTTTCTTTTTCCTATCCATTGCTGGCCATGTTTGGAATGGCGCATTGATAATGGAGCCTTGCTAAGGAGGATCACTCTGGGTTTTGTTAATCCATCAGAAAACATCCAAGGTTTAAAAATCAATTAGACAAATCTTCAGATTGCCCTGTGCTAGCTCTTTTTTTATATCCTTTGATGGTTTAAAAGGCCCTTTGGGGTGATACGGGTTTTTTTTTTTAATGTAATGCATAGTGAGCTTGAACAGACTGTTTTCATAAATCAGAAGGAAAGAGTTGGATGCGTAGAAAAAACAGAGAAAACTGTCAGCAGAAAAGGACAGTGGTCCATTGAGTCTGCATTTGAGGATTTTTTGTTTTGTTTTTTGCTTTCTTTTAAATTTATTTTTTTAAATTATCTTTATTTATTATTTTGTTTTGGTTTTTTATCTTTTAATTTTTGTTGAATGGTGGACATGTGATTATCCCATGCATGTTTACTGATGAATGACCAGCTACCTTCCCCTGGAAGTTGCTTCCAAACTTCCACTACTCTTTTTGTGAAGTAATACTTTCTAACATTACTTTTGAACTGCCCTCCTGTCAGTCTCAGGTTATGCCTCCGTGTTCTTGATTTCTGCTTCATATTGAAAATACTGCCTTCTAGAACCTTATTCCACACCCTTAATATATTTAAAGGTTTTAGTCATGTTCCTCCTTTCTCTTCTGCCCTCCAGGCTGTACATTATTATTATTATTTATTATTATTATTTTATTATTTTTAAAATTTATAAGCCGCCCCACTCCCGTAGGACTCTGGGCGGCTAACAATAAAAACAACATAAAACATGACAAAACAAACAGTACAATTACAGTCATCCAGGGGTCAGATTTTATAAACCCCAGGCCTGCCGGAAAAGCCAGGTCTTAAGCAGCTTACGGAAAACCAACAGGGTGGGAACGGTCCTAATCTCCGGGGGGAGCTGGTTCCAAGAGGTGGGCGCCATCACAGAGAAAGCCCTCCTCCGCGGCCCCGCCAAATGGCACTGCTTGGCCGACGGGACCTGAAGGAGGCCCAGCCTGTGGGATCTAACCGGACGTAGGGAACTATGAGGTAGTAGGCGGTCTCGCAGATAGCCTGGCCCTGAGCCATATAGGGCTTTAAAGGTAATAACCAACACCTTGAATTGGACCCGGAGACCAATAGGCAACCAGTGCAGCTCACGGAGGATAGGTGTAAGTGGGTGTATCGAGGAGCACCCACTATCACTCGCGCGGCTGCATTCTGGACCAACTGTAGTCTCCAAATACTTTTCAAGGGTAGCCCCATGTAGAGCGCGTTGCAGTAGTCCAGACGTGAGGTGACAAGGGCATGAGTGACTGTAAGGAGTCAGTTCCTCCAGTCTCTCCTGATATGTTTTGTTCCTCAGACCTTGCACCATTTTGGCCATCTCTGAACTCATTCAATCTTATTGATATCTTTTTAAAGTGAATACTGGACACAGTATTCTAAATGGAGTCTGACTAAAGTCCTGTACAGTGGGATTAGGACATCCTTTTTTTTTGCTGGTGATCCTCTAGTGATGACCCCAGAATTTTGTTTGCCTTCACAGTTGCCACAGTGTTTACTCATTTTGCAGTCACCTGCTGTGAGCACACCTAAATCTTTTTTTGTGTGTGCTTTTGTGTTGTTCTGTCTTCCACTGTACCATTCAATACTGTATTGCATATGATGCTTTAGTTATTTATTGTTACTGATTGTTTTACAGTGAGTATGAATCACACTTCAACTTGTTAGGGTATGAAGTCACATGAGTTTAGAAAAAAACCCAACAATAAATAAAGATAAAGGGTTGAAGAGGAAACAGAGGTTGTAACTTAAAATATTAAATGTATGCATTCTGCACCAGATTTACTTGTCTGAGTACAGGGACACACACTGGAAAAAAATAGAGCAAATATAAAACATATTTTCAGCGTTTTACTGAATCACAAGTGAATAAACCAGAGTAGAGTTCATTAACCAACTGTGGGCTAGAAATATAGAATGTTGCGTGATGTATTTTACAAACAGAAATGGGGATATTTATCCCTACAATAGGAAGTGACTGTTAGTGAAACTACTAGACATGATTAGTGCTTATGTGTATTATGTATACCACCTAAAGAAAGGAGTGACCAAAGATTTTCTGTGGGGTGTGGTATGTAGCATAGCATATGTTGATTGAAAAAATATTAGGTGATCACAAATGACTTAATGTTTTCTGTATCCATGTGCTAGTATCTAATAGTTCTCCAGATATTATATTTTTAGCTAGAAACATTTTTTTTTTCTTCACTGGAAAATTAGGTTCTTGAAAACAGAGGACAGCCTAACCCTTTTTCTTTTGTTTCAACAGCTCAGCTGCCAGCAGTATTACACTATTGTCAATAATACAGTTCCAGCAGTGCTTCCAGGTGGTTGTGTAGAGAATCCCAAATATTACAGCTACATAGCAGTGTTGGCACTCATTGCAACAATAATGCTGGTGCAAGTCAGCCACATGGTCAAGCTCACTCTGATGTTGATGATCACAGGGGCAGTGGGAGTGGTCAACATTCTGGCCTGGCAACAGATCTTTGATAGATATGATCAGGAGCGATTTCAGGAGAACATGTAAGAAATTTCAAGGTCGAAAATGTCATGGGAGTGTGTTTAGGGTAATATTGGGCTTATGTCATATCTGAAGTGAAAAGAGGCTAATAATAACTTGTTCACTATTTTGTTACTTTTGGTATATATTGCTCTTTTAAATTATTTAATTAATTTTAATGTATGATATATCATCAATAAATGTCAGACTTACATAGTAACATGAAGAGACTCCATAGATTGATTTATATCATAAATTTCATTGAAGGAGAAGATTACAAGAAGTGAAGATGCTAGTCTATTGGTTGAGGTGGTTAAGGTTAGGAATCAGGAACTATGGAAGCTCACCGAGTGACTTTGGGTCATTTGCTCACTCTAAACCCAAACTTCTTCATAGGATTGTTGTCATGGAGGAAGTTGTGTATGTTCCACCTTGAGTTCCCGAAAGACAGGATAAAAATATAAAAGTAGAAAGTACAAGAAAGTGCATTCCATTCAATTTCATATATTTAGATGTGAGTTACAGAATGAAGAATCTGTGGTTCCAAAGCCTGGAATTTTTAAATAAAGAATTTGGAAGAAAGAGGGAGAGTAAGGTAAAAGGTAGCAAGGTTTTGTTCTTTGAATTCAGGAAGACTAGCTTTGGATGCAGAGAATCCTAAAAACTTTTTTTTTGTCTTCTGCTCCAATGCGTTTTTTCTCTTTGAAACTATATGTAAAATACTCCTAAATTTCCATGAGTTTTCCTTGCTTGTTGAAGTTAGAACTGAAGTGCGCATACTATATTCAGCTGAATTAACATGTCAGACACTCTTTCTCAGACTACAGTTAGTCCTTAACTTATAACCTGTTGCTTAGTGACCATACAAAATTACAAAGGACCCCCTTCCAAAGGTAGTTATGACCCATATTTGAAGTTCCAACACCTTCCCACCCTGTGTGATCACAATTTGGGCTTTTGGCAGCTGGTCCATATTTGTGGCCTTTTGCAGTGTCCTGCAGTCACGTGACTATGGTTTATGTAACTTTGTTTTGCAGGAAACTAGTGTTTACCTCCGGTTTCAGCAAAAAAAAAAAAAAAAGCTCATTGTGGACAATGGGTTCACTTGTGGCATTTGCTTAATGACTGTGGCATTTGCTTTACAATCACTGCAAAAAAGTTGTAGAATTGAAACAGTCCCATAGGTGCTTTGATTTACGACTGTCATGACATATGTCAGAAATTTCAGGCTCCTTTACAATTGTAAATCGAAGATTATCTGTACTCTCATTATAAATGTGGCAGTCCAATTCTGTATGCATGTTCCTTCAAATATTTCTTCTGTGTGTATAGAGCAAGTTGACAGGCCTCCTTTTCCTCTTGTGCTTGTTTTCTATGTAGATCTTTCCACCTGCAGATTGAAGTAAAGATTTCAGGAATTCAGGAAGATCTTGATCTCATGACTTGGCTGAGCATGTACTTCAAATTTTCTAACTGTGAATCTTATTCATTTGCTTTTCAGGATTTCACTAGTTCCATCCAAGTATTCCATGACAGTGATGATCTTGGTGATGATGCTCAGTTTCTACTATTTCTCACGTCATGTGAGTACTTTGCTAAATTTCTTATTTTAGGCAGTTGGCACCTTTGGAGTTCAGTTTACCATCAAATTCTGTTAGGGTAACTGTATTTCTGTATTTCTTAGCATTTTAGTATTTTAGGGTGCCTTATCTATCTTTGCTTGCCTTTACATTCATAAATATGCAATCTTTCCAGTCAAACTGGAGGACAGCTTAAATGGCAAAGATGTCTCTGTTCCTATAAACTGAAGAGTCAACTTTTTTTTGAAACCCAAAAGTTCTGGATTCCACTGCTTCGTGGCCCAAAAAAAAAATCACATAAAAAGTGTTTCTATTCTTGGTTAGAACCTATATTTCTGTACATATGTACTTTTTTGCATTCAGATAAGATTCATTCAGAATATGAATGATTCAACTTGGCAATGACATAGCTTTTTAGTATCACTGAGGAATAAAAGACAATATCAAATTTTAATGTGGGATTTTGGACTACATTATCAGAGTGACATTTCTCCCCTCTCCCTCCCTCGCTGCAGGTAGAAAAGTTGGCTAGGACTTTATTCTTATGGAAAATTGATGTGCATAGCCAGAAGGAGCGTGTGTATGAGATGCGGCGCTGGAATGAAGCTCTTGTCACCAACATGCTGCCAGAACATGTGGCACGCCATTTTCTTGGCTCTAAGAAACGAGATGAGGTACATATTGGAAAACAAGTAGTTCATGGAGAAAACAGTATGCAAGTAGGATTTTTTTTGTTAAAGGGATGATAGGCAAAAATGGGAATTAAATCAAGCCTGTGTTGATAACCTGTATACTCCAGAGTATAGATCATGTTATAGTTATTAAGACTAGAGATAACCAGTGTGTTAATCACCCCATTAAATTATTTTCTTCCAGGAAGGCATACAATTGATGCATTAAACAAAGGTGATAAAGGCACTGCTAGCTGTTGCCTCCTTCAGGGAAATGCAATAATATAAACTAGAAGACAATGTAGAAATGATGAGATGAGCTTGGATATAATGTTGCATTGCACAATTGAGTACATGAAGACAATTATGCCTGAATATAGAAGCACCATTTATCTATTTTAATTTCCTCACCTTTCTTGCCTTCTTGTGTAGGAACTGTATAGTCAGTCTTACGATGAAATTGGTGTTATGTTTGCCTCTATCCCCAACTTTGCCGACTTCTACACAGAGGAAAGTATAAATAATGGTGGGATTGAGTGCCTTCGCTTCCTCAATGAAATAATCTCAGATTTTGATGCGGTGAGTCAGTTTTAATTAATAGGCTAAAGTACCCTCTTAATCAGTTGGCCCAAAGAAAATCAATTACTTATTCTAAGAGTTGTTCTTGAAGAGATATGCTTCCTGTGTTAGGAACTATGAGTTTTGTTACATAGCAGTATTGAAATCTGTTATTTTACCTAAACTACCTGCTATATTGATTGTCATCAATTGGTAAAACTTGGATTTTCATAATACAACTCTGTTTTATCAATTTCTATCTTGCTTTTGGTGCTAGTGCTGAAGAAAAAAAGTTATGTGCCAAACCCTCTCTCAAAACCAATTTACAGGTGATCCACAAAAGTAAAACCATGTTGAAGAACAACATTGTAATTTAAATTATCAGCTTGTTTTAGCACCAGTAATATTTTCAGGAATTCCTCATGTCCTCAAACCTCATCCACTATCCAAAGCAAGAAAGGCACAGATTTAAAACATTGACAGTGTTACTATTTCATAAGAATACAGATAATTGTCGTTCCTACACCAAATGTATTAAAAAGGTTTTCACATGGTATATTTAAGACAGTCTTCTGCCAAGTCAAGGTATCTACATTTTTTTTTTTTTTTTTTGCCAAAGTAGCATTCCCCCCTCCTGCTTTAGTGGGCCACTCAGCTTAAAACAGGCATATAGTAGCCAGTTGTCAGTGCTCTGCTCCCTCCTCTGAAAGATCCAGTTGTGCCCATATTAATTACATACTGGATTTGCAAGATACCAGAGAAATTGAACTGTGTTGATCTTGCTACCTATCACTTTACTATATATCATAAATGTTCATCCCCTTCAAAAAGGGAAATAAGATCATGTGAATTCAAAATCTGTGCTTCTGAGCCTTGGCAGTAAATGTCCGTGCCACATATCTTTATTGCATTGATAAATTTAAGCATGCAAATCTAACATATACACATGTAGCATATTTACTTCAAGTTATTGCTTATATTATGTGCTTCGTGTTCTGGGGAGTATCTGTACACCATTTTTTTCACGAGGCACACATGATAGGGAAGAGTGCAATCCTGTATAAATGTGTCTAGGTATATGTTGTATTACATTAATAGGATTTATGTCTCAGCAGACATGTATAAGATTGCATTGTAAGGTCAAGAATTGGTCCTCATTGCTTCTGATCAGCTCCATAGAACCCAAAATCTACCTTCCTGACTGATTTATTGATCATTGCAATAATTATGAGATCTCTCACTCTCACAGCTCTTGGATGATCCCCAGTTCCGGTGCATCACTAAAATCAAAACCATTGGCAGTACATACATGGCAGCTTCTGGTGTGACACCCGATGTCAACAGCAATGGTTACAACACTGTTAAGGTAAAATAGTGAAAGAAAGACAGAAGAATTATGACTGTGGAAGTATCCATCCACACCCACGGTCACATTATCACTTTTTAAGCGCTTGATAACTGGGTATATTTATGACTGATTGCAGTGTCCCATAATTTGTAACTCCCTTCCCCCCAGTTTCTGCTTTTTTGCTGCTTCCCAGCCAAATTGGACATTTGAGAAAATGAATTTGCTTAAGGACTTTCCTTATGACTTCCCAGTCCAGGAATGGATTCAAGAGGCACATAAGAATTTGCACAAAGGTACCGTAAATGCCGGCGTACAAGGCGACCCGGCGTATAAGACGACCCCCGTCTTTATAGCCGGGCCGCATTCCTAGAACGTCGTCTTATACTCCAGAAACTACCAGTATTTCTAGCGTATAAGACGACTCGGCGTATAAGACAACTCCCGTCTTTGGCGCCAATTTCAGCGCTCGCGGAAGTCACCTTATACGCCGGCATTTACGGTACTCCTAACTGGCTACCACCTGCTCCTTCAGCAAGAGCCAACAAAATCCCCGAATTGTGCACTTCTGGCTGGAGTGGTGTGCTTCTATCCAGAATTAGAGATGGAACAATCTCCAGGATTGGGTAGTCTTCAGTTAAGCCTGAACCTATTCCTCCCTATCCAGACCCCATTGCCTCCAGTGAGATAGAATTTTGACAACATCATTGTGCAACCAGGGACTGAGCTGTATAGATATCAGTGTTTTGATGATTCCTAATCCTTTGTTGTTGGATGACTTCCTTCAGGCTTTGTGTATAGAACAGAACAGAAGAATAGACTAGACTAGACTAGACTAGACTAGACTAGACTAGACTAGACTAGACTAGAACAGAGCTGGAAGGGTCCCTGAAGGTTTTCTAGTCCAGCCACCTGCTCAAGCAGGAGAATCTGTATTGTTTCAGAAGGTGACTATTTAGTCTCTTCTTAAAAATCACCAGTGATGGAGCACCCACAATTTCTGGAGGCAAGCTGTTCCACTGATTAATTGTCCTCACATTTAGGAAGTTTCTCCTTAATTCCAGGTTGCTTCTCTCTTTGGTCAGTTTCCAACCATTGTTTCTTGTCCTGCGCTCTGGTGCTGGAACAGGCCTTGAAGGAAGAAAACTCATACAAAATATACCTTGCACTCCACCCTCATAAATTGCTCTTGTCAAATACCATGATTAATTACTAAAATATTGAAAACTGTGAAGATGTCAAGAATGACCAGGATGGATACATCTTCCCTATCCTGGTCCCTATCTCAGGCCATAATACATCATTATTAAATATAATCAATGCTGCCCCTTACTACTTTCACAGGAAAAGGTTGCTGCTTCAAAGGCCACCTGAAGTTGCAGTCCAACCACCTTCTCTCCAAAATGGAATGGATAAATAATAACAACAATGACAGTTATACAGAGCTGTTGAGTTCCATAGGGATTCCTTGAGAAGAAGACTATCACACCCTTCAATACAGATAGAACTACCCGCTCGCTCAAAGATTAATTCACTACCTGTGCACAATTTTTCTGTAGTGCCTTGATTAACATGGAATTAATTGCCCTTCTAGTTTAAGGGTAGAGAACCTGTGACCCTCCAGATACTGCTGAGTAACAACTCACAGCAGACCTAACCAAAATCATCCAAGAATGGACTGATGTTGAGAACTAGCTAAAGGGCTATAGGGTCCACATCTTAATAATCAGGTATGATTTGTTTGAATTTGTTATGGCTGCCCATTCCAGCACACTCTGGGCAGCTTACAAAAAAAATCTAATACAAAATTAAAACAATTAAAAATATGGACAAAATGAAACAGCCCAGACTCAAAAACCTTGCGGAAATGAGTTTTAATATATGCATATGCATTTAATGAAGTCTAACATGTATAAGGGATTTGGGAGCTAGACTTATTCGGGGTAGCTTGTAATAAAATTTAAAACTGGAGAAGTGTTCCTTTTCTGATTTTTTTTTTTTAATTTTGGTGTTTTGCCTTCCCTAGAAGGAAGATCTTTCAGAAAAGGAGCGCTGGCAACATTTGGCAGATCTTGCAGACTTTGCCTTAGCCATGAAAGAGACGTTGATGAACATTAACTATCAGTCCTTCAATAACTTCATGCTGCGAATAGGCAAGTGGGATATCCTATGTAACGAATATGGGCTAGATGGGACTAATCTCAGTACACTGGAACAATGAAATTGATTAATATCAGACTCAGGGCAAAGGGAATGCTTACACATTACCAGATAACAGCTGTTAGGTTAGATAGCTTTAATGGACGCTTTAAAGGAAAAAAAGGAGGAAAAATCTATTTGCCAAATGTTCCAAAATGTTCCCTTTCTAAATACTAATACCTGAGGAACAACAGTGAAATGGGGAGGTCGCTACTGCACTCATAGTTCTGGGCTCCCGAGCCTAGATATTTGACTAGGTACTGTGAAATGTAGTGTCCTGATTTCTTTGAATCGTTGTTCAAATCCATCAGGGATTTTAGCTTTCCCTACTTGTCATCTTGTTCTGGCTCTGAGGCAGATTGAAAAGTACTGTTGAATACTTGATGCATTTGTTTCTCACTTTCTCTTTTTGTTATAATGTACTGACAGGCATGAATAAAGGAGCTGTGCTAGCAGGGGTGATTGGTGCCCGTAAACCTCACTATGATATTTGGGGGAACACTGTGAATGTAGCAAGCCGGATGGAGTCCACAGGTGTCATGGGAAATATACAGGTGGGGAAACTCTTTTGCTTTGATGGGGACAACAGGAAGGTTTCTGAAAATGGTGGCAGTTAACTGAAATTATAGGCACTTCTGACTATAACTGCATTAAGGCCAGGTTTAATGACTATTGTGTAGTAAGGTTCTACATTTAGGCAAGAAAAACCAAACACACAGGTATAGTATAGGGGGTACCTTGCTCAATAGTAGTAACTGTGAGAGGGACCTCGGAGTCCTAGTGGACAGTCACCTAAATATGAGCCAGCAGTGTGCTGCAGCTGCCAAAAAGGCCAACGCAGTGCTAGGCTGCATTAACAGAGGGATAGAATCAAGATCACGTGAAGTGTTAATACCACTTTACAATGCCTTGGTAAGGCCACACTTGGAATACTGCATCCAGTTTTGGTCACTGCGATGTAAAAAAGATGTTGAGACTCTAGAACAGTGGTTCTCAACCTTTTTAATGCCGCAACCCCCAACCGGTCGTAAGTCGAGGACTACTCAACCGGTCGTAAGTCAAGGACTACTCAACTGATGCAGCACCGTTTGCAGAATGGGACTTTTGGCGGGCTCAGCAGGGCAGAGACAGCCTGGACAATTCTTCAAGAGAGTCTATTCTATTGGCTTTCAAAAGCAAATAGAATAAAAGGGAGTAGCACAGCTAAGGAAAAGGGGAAAAAATGGCGGCTGCGTTGTTTGGCAACCCCCGTGAAGTGGTCGTTCAACCCCAAATGGGGTCCCGACCCACAGGTTGAGAACCACTGCTCTAGAAAGAGTATAGAGAAGAGCAACAAAGATGATTAGGGGACTGGAGGCTAAAGCATATAAGGAACTGTTGCTGGAATTGGGTATGTCTAGTTTAATGAAGAGAAGGACGAGGGGGGACATGATAGCAGTGTTCCAATATCTCAGGGGCTGCCACAAAGAAGAGGGTGTCAAGCTATTTTCCAAGGCGCCTGAAGGCAGGACAAGAAGCAACGGGTGGAAACTAAGCAAGGAGAGAAGCAACCTAGAACTAAGGAGAAACTTCCTGACAGTTAGAACAATTAACCAGTGGAACAACCTGCCTCCAAAAGCGGTGAATGCTCCAACACTGGAGGTTTTTAAGAAGAGACGGGACAGCCATTTGTCCGAAATGGTATAGGGTTTCTTGCCTGAGCAAGGGGTTGGACTAGATGATTTCCAAGGTCCCTTCCAACTTTACTATTATTATTATTGTTATTAGTAAGGGCAGAAAGGGTTAAAAACTGTGGCCCCTGATGGAGACAGTAGGGGTCCATATGCATAGCAGCATTGTATGGAATCTCATTATTTCTTATATATTAGGATGTTCTGAAAAAGGTACAAGAAACTTATCTAAAATGGTTTCTCAGTTCGCCTCAATGCAGATTAAAATGAGAGGTCTGTGTAAATCAGACAATGGACTTGGGGGCATTTTAAAGGAATTATATTCCAGTCACACTGAATGCCAATCTGCTCTTAAGAGACATCAGACAATCAATTGGGTTCACCCAGATATAATGGACTACACAACCATTGTAATTCACAATCAATGCACTGGTCATGCTGATTGAAGGTGATCAGAATATATTGGCAAAGTTACTTAGTTGGGGAGCCCAGGGGTAAGGAAGAATTGTTATAATGGTGAGGGAACTGACTTCCCACGGACCCTTGCCTGCCATTATTGACCTTCAGAAACTGCTGTTAAACAGAGAAGGAACTCCAAGATTCTCCAGAAGACAGGTTGGAAACTTCCAAAAAGAAAGGAGATTCCTTTCTTTAAAATGGCATTGTTGCTGTCGGTTAGCATTTTAACAAAGTCCCAACTAAAAAAAAGATATTTAATAATTTAATGATTAATGCTGTTTGCTTATATACTGTCCCCTCCTGAAAATCAGGAAGTGATTTCAGGTAAGTAACAACAGTTTCCAAAGTGATGAAACATAACTTAGTAGAACATATATTCATAGTATACATTTTCCTGGTTGTATGCTCCAAGAGGGTGTATTTATGGATCTTTGTAGAATTTTCCGTCTGCATTTATTTTCTTTTTGATGAGGTTTGACATATCCTCATTCCACAATATAACACAACCTTTGTAGTTCACTTCTTTTGGGTCAGTTAAAAAGGTGGGTAAAATATTTACACAAAACAGCCTAAAAAGAAACATTTGGTTGATAAATCTTAGCTGTTTGATTATATCTGTGTATTCTGGTTTTTTTAGGTGGTGGAAGAAACTCACTTTATCTTGAAAGAGTACGGCTTCCGCTTTGTGCGCCGAGGGCACATTTACGTCAAAGGCAAAGGTGACTTGCTGACCTATTTTATGAAAGGACGTGAAAAGCAAGGTTCCTTTATCAATGGTTCATGTGTGACATTGCCTCATCAGGTGGTTGACAGTTCTTGAACTTCTCACTCTACATGCAAATAGCAGAAAAAAGCAGGTACCTCTGTAATGCCCAAAGACAAACTGCTTTCAGCACCTGCTGCTCTGGATGGGAGATTGGTATATACACCATTAATAGATTTACAGGAAATCACCCCTTTGCTTGTTCCTTTCTTCTTGAACATTTATTATTTGTAAAGGGGCTCCCTTGCCATCAGTTTGCATTTGTTTGTTAATATAGAAAGGGCAGTAGAAAGGTTTCGATAGGAAGAATCCTGCCTTTTGCACAAATACGTGGCTTCTTGCACATTCAGGCCTGGAGGTAATAGAATTCTCACTGCGGCCTTGCTTGGCTAGATCACTCTGCATTATCTTTTTAGTTCAAATGTGCAGTGGTTTTAATTTTCCATTGATCCAAGCTGTGCATAGACTTCTTTGTAAAACCAAATGCAAGTTCCGAATGGGTACCACAAATGGGCAGACAAACTGGGAAAACTGCATAAAGTTCACACTTGGCCCACTTGGAGTTAATAATTGCCTCAAAACAGGCAAATAGCAGAAAGGAAAAAGAGCACGCGAAATCTTTCTTTTCATTGTAACAAGATGCTCTATTTTGGAGGGGAAAAGGGAAAGAGATCATTCATGTAGATGAATGGTAATATATATATATATATATATATATGATAATATATATGAGAACAGATACCTTTATATTTTTAATGCATCTTAATTGTGAAAGTAAGGTGCCTGTTTCAGGCTGTGCCTTGCGTCCCTTTCTGCCCTCAACTTTGCTGATGCTTTAAAAGGAAGAGATTTATACAGCCTGAACCAAGGCTGTTTTATTAAAAGCCTTCATCTGATTGTTACGTTGAAATAAAAATTATGTAATTTGTTTAGTTTCTCAAATAGATTGTTTGATTTTAAAATTGCTGTTTCTTGTTTTATTTTGGGGAAAAAAGGGGGGTTGTGTCATTCACTCTAAGGGAAAATGTGCATGTTTGGGTTGAATGCTAAATAATCATATTGGAAGAAATGATTTCTGATTTCAGAGTGATGTCTGAGTGCCATTATGCTATTGGAATATTTAATTATAATAAGTCAAGAGAGGATAGTTCTTTTTTTAAAGTTTTATTGCATAATAAAACATGTACAAATATAGAATATATAAAGGAAATTTCATATCATGTCCCCTTTTAATCTATATTTAATTTCTGAAAATGTGATATCAGAGCCAAGACTGAGAACAGCTTTCCTCACTACTGTATTGTGTAATCTATTTTGGGAGCTTTGAGTGAAAGACTGATACAAATGTGCCAGAGGACCAAATTCATCTTCTTGCAGCGTTTTCAGATATACAAAATCTTAATCCACACAGATAATCCTACTAAATCGGATGTTTATATAATCCCACATATAATTTCTCATTTCACATAGGTAAGTTAGACATTTCAGTGGAAAATACTGCCTCTTTGCAGAGCTTGGCCAGAATCAAGTAAAGAGAGTTGTAATGGAAGCAGGACAAGCCTAAAGGAGGAGGGTATGAGTCTTTGAATACTATTATATCTACAGTTTTAAAAAATGTAAGACAATATTTTTGAAAATAGGAGATGTTCAATGCTATAGAGAACAAAAGTCATCATAAGTGAGATGAGGTGGGAGAATTAAATAATTTATTCATGCTACTAAGGGCCTTGGGTAGGACAGGATGCAAAGTAGACTAGCTATCCTGCAATCCTTGGTCTTACTTCAGAGTCTCTGCTCCATCAATTTGGAACAGCTCTTTGTTCTTTTGATGTAGCCTGGAAGAAAAAGAAGCGTAAGTGCCCTCTCATCCCGGTTATGTTTAGCTCAGCCTTGACTCATCAAGAGAAAAGAGAAATTTTGGCCTACCAACTCAGTCCTAAGATACAAAGGAGCCTATGCCAATATGGAAATAAGCAAAAATCTTGACTAAATTCATAAAAACAAAAACTTTTTATTATCAATAAAGGAGAATATTTGTAGCTCAGGGTTAAAATGGGGGGGGGTGTCCTTGGTGCTCTCTGAGCTTGGTGGTCTTCTTGCAGATGTTTTATTACCCAAACTAGGTAGCATCATCAATGCTAGCTAGTTTGGTTAATGAAATGTCTACAAGAAAATAGCCAAGTTCAGAGAGCACCAAGGACCCCTCAACTATGATTATGTTTGATTATATTCCTGACTTTAAAAAAATGATTATATCAAATTTGGGACAGAGAAAAACCTGCAAAACAAAACTAATGACTACACAATTAAAGATGCAACAAACATTTGAGCTAAGTTAGGTAACTTTTATTAATTTTTATAAATAATTTAATAATTCTAATCTAGGCAAATTAGAACTGTAGTAGTACAGTGGTTAGAATGCAGCATTGTAATTTGATCCTGACCCATTCAAGGTTGACTCAGCCTCCATCCTTCTGAGGTCAATAAAATGAGGACCCAGATTGTTAGGGGCAATATGTAAACCGCTTAGAAAAGGCTGTAAAGCACTGTGAAGCGGTATATACGTCTAAGTGCTAATGCTATTATTTAATGAACTATACCAAGAAACTACTTTCTTACCATTGAAGTCTGTAGAATCAGAACCTCAACATCAAAACTAAGCAAAGCATAGCTACAATGTAAATACTGCCACAAGGACAAGTTTCTAGCCTCCTTCACGGGAAAATGAAATGGGCTACATTTTCATAGGAAAATAGTAAATACTTCATAGAATATAACATGTAAACTAAAAATGTGACCAATCTATCTTGTACTTACTTGAAAAAAAGACTCAACTAAAGGATATTATCTGCCAGGATTTAACTGGAACATGCACTATCATCCCTCAAGTTGCTAATAGCATTTCAGCATTCTAAAGTATTTTATTTTTATACTAAAATAAACAACTCTTCATCAATACTATATGTTTTCTGGGTAGAACAATCTCTGTTACTGTGAGATCCCGCTTCATCTTCCTACCTTGGTGGAATTTATAATGCAGCAACCTCAGAGGGAACATTTTTGCTACCAGATATGGAACAGAAAGATGATACGGCTGCAATAGGTTGATTCAGATTTTCAGCTGAGGCTGTGATAGAAATAAAGACATCTTGAAGAGGCTTCTCATAGAACAACGCCAAATGAGCTGCTGCCATCTCGTCCACAGAAACTGGTGCATTTTTAGCTGAAGAAAAAAAAAAGAGGACAAGGAATTGCAGTATGAAAATCTTGCATTTATTTCTCCCCAGTTCTATTCTGTGTGGTAGTTGACTTTTTTTTTTTTATTGAGGTCTTTGAATCCCCACAGTAGAGAAGAAGTTATATACTAAAACAAAATGCATATTTCTAATTAGGTACCCCATAAATAGGAACCTCTAACACCTCTGTAATTTTTGAATTAAGTACATGTCCACTGTAAAGGACTGGACAAGTTGCAAATTAGAAGGAATTCTATTTGTGATATCAAGTATGAAATTAAGGGATGAAATTTGTTGAAAATAAGATAATTTTTTTAAGAATTTGGGACAAGAATATATCTTGTCAGTTTTGAACTGATAGACATATAGAGACATCTATTTATAAGTGGGAACTCCAAAAGAATATATTTAGAAACCATTTGATAACCTGAACCAAACATTTATATTCAAAATTCTAGAAGATATGAATATTGGGGGAAATTTCATTACATGGTTGAAATCAATATATGCTTCACAAAGGGTACAAATTATAGTTAATGGGGTATTGACTAAATCCTATGAAATATAGAAAGGAATAAGGCAAGACTGTAGACTTTTGCTGATTGGCTCAACTTCTTCCTAGTTAATTGGGCTAAGATGTGCCTCAAGCATCTCCATAAGACTTCCCAAGCCAGAGTCCAACTGAGTGAAACCCGGCAATTTTATCCAAGGGATACCTAGTATAATTCTCATACCACACCTGGTCATCCAAAATGGGGGCATTGGCATATCTGTGGATATGATATTCTTTGCTGCTTTTATTGCCACAAGTCCCAGAGCTGCTCTGTACACTGGAGAGCTTCAAAGGATCCATAGAGCCAACACACGTGTGATCTGGCCCGATCCAAGTCATCACTTATTCCAAGCCATGGCCAACATCTCAGCAAGACCATGCGTCAGAACATCAGGAATAACCTCCAATTCCCAGAAACCCTAATGGCTCCATCGATTGCCTGGTGTGGGCTGATGGAACAGGCCCCACCTCCTTGCAGGATCGAGGAGGATCTGTCCATGACAAAGGAGTGATGTTAATATCCCCCAACCGTATGAGGGTTTATAGGTTTTTAAAAATATAGCACTTTGAACTGCACTCAGAAAGCTAGTGGGATCCCATGTAGGGCTCATGGCTTGCAGCGGCTCTCGTCAACCAACAAATAGGCTACTGCATTTTCCACTAACTACTGCTTCTGACCTGCTTGTACCTATAAATCACCAAGAACTGAGGTGAGCTCAAAGGATTCTTCACTTCAATAATCTGTTAAATCATCAAATACAACCCATTACTTCTCACCTTTACATACAACAGTGACCTTGGTTGGGAGGGCATTTATGTGATTTCCATATATGATCTTTGCTGTAAATGGAAAATTTCCATCTTCTGTTACACGGTAGTTAAATGCCAACTGATTGTACAAAGAATTTCCTTTCATGCATCCTTCAAGAAAAATGGCAAAACGTTCCTGCAAGGAAGAGAATAATGCACATTATATCTAAGATTATCTTTGGAGACTGTTTTCCAGGTGCTCTCTCAGATAAAGCATAGAGTTTAGTTACCAGCAAAGAGGGGCGGGGGTTGTGTGTGAAGGCCTTCTGAAATGGAGATTTTTCTGAAATCTTTGTATTATTTTACATCCAAAGTGACTACAGAAATTTTTTTAAAAAGATTTTTTTTTTTTTTACTATTCCAGGCTTTTAAAACCTTTAAAAGGTTTGAAGTTTTTTAAGAAATTGACTACAATTTTAGACACTGGATATTAAGATTTCTGCTTCTTCAGCCCTTTATTATTTGATTTTGATTTGTTCTTTTTGACATTAGTTAGGAAGCTCTCAGATAGTTTGTTAAAATTAGGATTAAAAGGAGAGCCTCTATTCCAATTTGACAAAGGCAGAGAAGCCCCTTCATTATTGAAACCTAGCCAGGGAATTTTTCAAACTAAAAGATGGATGTAAACTTCTACAACCACTTTTACTTGGTTCTACTGCATATCTGTATCAATACACTACTCTTTGTAAAACTACAGACATCGCGCATTGGCGCAAGCTATAGTGGTTACCGAGCACAGGAAGGCCTGGAGGAACGTCTATGGGGTCGCGATGGTTCGGACACGACTTCGCAAGTAACAACATAGTGGTTACCAATATCGGTGGGTGTGGGAATGAGGAAAATGATTTTGTATGCATCAAATATCATTATGGAAATAATGTAAAGTATGTATGGGAACTGGGAGAGGTAGCCAGGAATTAATGGAAAGCTCTCCACTAGGGACCCAGGTGAGGTGGGGGGAGGAAAGAGAAAAAGTCTCAACTAAAGCTTAAGTTGCTTTTTGCCCTTGATTATTAAGGTTCAGTGGAAAGGCTGATTGCAGCCCCTCATTCAGAAGCCCCACCTTTTTAGTAAGTGGATTTAATAAACAAACAAAAAAAAAAAACAAGTTTTGTGGTGAAAAAATATGAAAACCTTTGGGGTGAGTTATATGCTTACTGTACATATATAGGCATAGCTTCTGTACATGTATTTTTAATTTTTTTCTGATGTTGAACTTGAAAGAAACAGGATAAATCTTATATGTCTTGTAATCCTATAATTCTAAGATTAAAATCTATCGCATCCTAATGTTGCCAAATCAAAACTTTTATTCAGCCTTTTGTTTAGGATAATCACCTGGACAACCTGTTTCTGCTAATCACAACTTTATTTTATTCATCTTCTTAGGCTTTGAAGAAGAAAAAGCTGTAAGTCCAAAAAGCTGAATTTTTTTGCCTTGTGAGGAGTTTCCCATTTTGGTTTTTGTGTCATTCCTAGATTTTCATTTTTCCCATTTCTTCTCAAAACCTCTTCAATCTTTGGCTTTGCTATTCTCGTTTCTATACTAGCCACCACAGTTCCCAGTGTAGTCACAAATGCGCATCGAGTAGATCTCTTGCTCCAGGCAGGAGAACTTATACCATCCCAGGCAAATAGTTGTCCAGTCTTTTTTTAAAAAAACCTAGAATGTAGTTTTTAGCAAAATATTTCTTAAAATACAAGCATTATTTTCCCTGCATCTTGCTACATTACTGCATTGTGTTTACTGTATTTCGTGTATGATTTGCTTTCCCTTGACTATCATCTTTACTTTAACGGGTAATTTGAAATACAAACAGAAACATCTGAAGCGTCAGAAGAATGTTCTCCTTTCATCTTTTGGCCTAATTGTGAAAGAAGGCACACCCTTTAAAAAAAAGAAAAGAAATATACATACTAAAAACCTTGTGAATCTAATCTACCATACTATTCATCTTTTTTTTTATATAAGGATTGAATTATAACTACTATTTTAGTCTAGAGCAGTGGTTCTCAACCTTTTTAATGCCACGACCCCCAACCGGTCGTAAGTCGAGGACTACTCAATCGGTCGTAAGTCGAGGACTACTCAACTGGTGCAGCACCGTTTGCAGAATGGGACTTTTGGCGGGCTCAGCAGGGCAGAGACAGCCTGGACAATTCCTATTGGCTTTTGAAAGCCAATAGAATTAGACTCTATTCAAGAGAGTCTATTCTATTGGCTTTCCAAAACCAATAGAATAAAAGGGAGTAGCACAGCTAAGGAAAAGGGGAAAAAAATGGCGGACTGCGTTGTTTGGCGATCCCCGTGAAATGGTCGTTCGACCCCAAATGGGGTCCCGACCCACAGGTTGAGAACCACTGGTCTAGAGTCTACACTAGACAAAGATACTATTATGCTGAAGTCCACCCAGTGGCCAGTTTACATACTACAGCTCAAAAATTTACAAAAAGCATACATAGAATGATAGGTCTGGAAGGGACCTTGGATGTCTTCTAGTCCAATCTCTTGCTCAAGGTAGGAGAACTTATATCATTCCAGACAAATGGCTGTCCGGTCTTTTCTTGAAAATTTCCAGCAATGGAGAACCCATGACACTATGATTTTCAAAAGGTCTGTACAAGGTTAATGCACTATATTTTAAATATTGGGGACCAGATGTAGCAGTAGTTGCAGTCGGCCATGTCAAGTGCAAAGATGTTTCTTAGGGCAAGTAGTTAGAATCAGGATGCTGGCAGTCTTTCATAGTGCCCTAAAGACTGCTTTTTTATAGGCACTGGACCAGACTGTTGCATGAACCTGTATGCAAGTATATACTTGGGAGTTAATTGTCCCCAGTACAATGTTTTTATTGATATGTTAATTTGTATTTTGATATGTTAACCCTATGTAAGCCTCTCATCATCATTAAAAGCTAGTAGCTTTAAAAACTGAAGGTATGAATCAATGAATTCTTAGCTCCCCAGCTTAGTTACTGTTCAATGTTCATATCAATAACAAAGAGCAAACCAGTTTTCTAATAAAAATTAACACAAAATGGATATATAGAAGTATATACAGAACTATATATTGATGAAAAACAATTCTATACTTGCAAAAAGGCATCTGCTTCAAAATACTAGTAGTCCTCGACTTACAATCATTTGTTTAGTGACTGTTCAAATTACAAAGGCACTGAAAAAAGTGACATGAGTTTTTCACTTATGACCATTGCAGCATCCCCATGGTCAACGTGATCAAAATTTGGATACTTGGCAACTGGCATATATTTATGATGGTTGCAGTGTCCTGGGGTCACGTGATGACCTGTCTGACAAGCAAAGTCAATGAGGAGGCCAGATTCAGTTAACCACTATGTTAACATCTGAATAAATGCAGTGATTCACTTAACAACTATGGCAAGAAAGATTTTTAAAAGGGATAAAACTCACTTAATAACTATCTTGCTTAGCAATGGAAATTTTGGGCTCAGTTGTGCTCATAAGGCGAGGACTACCTATATGTTGCTTTCATCAGAAGAAATGCAAAGAAAAAGGCACAATTTTGTAAAAGTGCAAATTGATGTAGAATTGGAACAAAATAGACTGTAGGTACAAAAATAAGATTAAACAGATTTGTCTTTCCCTGTGTATAACTGAAAACCAAGATACACCAAGGGAAAAATAAATTTGACACCAGAAATAACTGAAAGTTTTTTATCTGTGTTACAGTATACTTGATACAGCTATTTAGATAGGCCATATTAAATTTACAATTTAAATTATTTTATTAATTTTTATATTATTTTTTCCAATGTAAATTTTATTTTAGGTTATTATAGTAAGGTCCATTAAATGAATCCAACAGAAAATGAATATTTATGCTACTGATTTGTTAGTTTTAAATGACAGAGCAAAATTATAATTGTTCAAGATTCTAAATTCATAAATATGATTTGCTAAGAATCCTTATTTCAGTGATTTAAATTGACCCCTTTATATTTACAAAATCACTGGTTCAAATTAATCCAGCTTATTTGCTTGGGCCTTCTGCCTTTGTCCAGTTTAAAATATGGTCATTACTATCTGATGATTAAAAGCGAGGCAGCCATAATCACATGGCAGAATAACTCCAAGACTGTATTAGCTATACCCAGTTCACAGCACCCTGCATGAAACTTCCTTTGAGAAAAGATAAAATAAGGCTATTAGCAAAATGTTCCTTGCTTCATACATGTCCAGGACACCATTTCCCCCCCTTACCTGTAATTGGTCTACCTGGAATTTCCTTCTATCATAAGCGTTCAGATGATCTGAGAGTACAGACAGGAAGCACTTAATGTCTTTCTGCAAATGCTCATGAGCTATTTGCTCCAGAGGTATGAAAACTGGGATTGAATGGTGTTGAATCTGGAGTGGCTTCTGTATAAGGATGTCTAAATAATAGGAATCTAGATAAGTTCCTTCAAAGGCAGTGCTGATGCAAAAGGAGACTCCATGCTCTGTCAGTTTTGCACTTAGGCCTAGGAAAAACGCATTTAAGATCAGAATTTTAAAGCTGGGTTGATAAAGTACTATATTTGCTGCTAAATAAAATGTAAAAACCCCATTCAAATTCAGCATGATTCCTGGCGACAACATACTATAAACATGCAGTTTTCTTAACAATGTTATACAAGTGGTTTGCCACTATGTTCTTTAGAATGATTGTCAACTTCCTAATCTAGTCTACAATCCTAAGATTCCTTGGGAGTCTCCCATTCAAATCTAACCTGATCTCATTGGTAAGCTTCAATGTAAAATCAATTAGATATTGCCATCTGCTCCTATACATTTGTTCCTTAACAAATGATTATTTATAAAATTCTCAGAATGCCTGCTCATTGTGTGTACGTGCACCTTCAAGTCAGTCTTAGTGACTACATGGACAGGTCCAAGCAGTTTTCTTGGCAGTAGTTTTGGAAGTGATTTACAGTTGTATACAGCTAAATCCTAGAGCTAAGACATAATAGCTGCTCCAAAGACACGCAACTGACTTTGTGCCTAAGGCAGGCACCAAACTCACAACCTCCTGGTTTCTAGCCTGGTGCTTTGAATCGTTACATTGAACTGGCTCTCTCATTACTTCTTGCCTACCCAAAATTCCAGTCCTTACTCAACTTTTTGTTGTCCCAGTGCAAAAGATTTGATATAAAGCTCTGTTTATTGAAAAGTATATTGCACAAAATTAGTCAGATATATTTTGGGCAGAGATAGAGTAACCCAGGACAGTGGTTCCCAACCTTTTCTATACCCCACACCCCTAGAACGCTTCTGATATATTCTTGCACCCCTTACAAAAGTTCAAAATAATAGCAACAAATTATGCATACACACTATAATTTTGAAAACCCAAGTTTTCACACACCCTGGAATATAGTCTCACACCCTTGGTTGGGAACCCCTGACCTAGGACCTTAGCCTTATAAGTTCTAAACCAGTGGTTCTCAACCTTTTTAATGCCGCGACCCCTCAACCGGTCGTAAGTCGAGGACTATTCAACTGGTGCAGCACTGTTTGCAGAATGGGACTTTTGGCGGGCTCAGCAGGGCAGAGACAGCCTAGACAATTCCTATTGGCTTTTGAAAGCCAATAGAATTAGACTCTATTCAAGAGAGTCTATTCTATTGGCTTTCAAAAGCCAATAGAATAAAAGGGAGTAGCACAGGTAAGGAAAAGGGGAAAAAAATGGCGGACTGCGTTGTTTGGCGATCCCCGTGAAATGGTCGTTTGACCCCAAATGGGGTCCCGACCCACAGGTTGAGAACCACTGTTCTAAACTAAAGCAGAGAGGAGAAATGGCTAAGATAAACTAAATTGCCAGGCAACTGATTAGCCTAAGAACAGAATCTTATCAATATGTAACAAGGGTACCTGTCAGATGAAAAAGTTCTAGCACACCCTTGGCATTCTCTATCTTCCACCCTAAGGCCTGTTGGCTTGTTGTTGTAGCCTTAGAAACTTGCAAACTGTTTTTCATAGCATCTTTGCCTAGAGTGAACTACAAAAGAACAGGAGAGTTACAACTCAATGATTACAACTTGTTAGGTCTATATTGCCCAGAAACATCTATCACTTCTACTAAAAGGAGGTTGTTAAGGAAAATGTTCTTAAGGAGCCATGTTCTTTCCAATATTTGACATGTGCAGGTAAAAAAATGTTCTGTACAGTTTTTCCCAAGTCAAATACAAATTCATATACCACAAGACAATTATACAAGTAAATTAATTGTAATTCAGTGCTCAATAGGACGAGACATGTTTTCTTGGTCTAAAAAAGGAGAGTCCCAGTGTAATTTCCATTTTATCTGATTAATGTAACTATTGGACAACTTAAAACTAGAAATTTAGTAGCAACAAATGTACTATGGGTTAACAGGCAATGAATTTAGAGAATATAGCACAAAGTCTATACATTATGACACACTGGTTCAGTTACTAGATAACCCAATTTTTGCCTAATGTGCTACACAACCCAGACGACATGGTTAATTTATGGTTCAATGTACTATGAAAAATGAGAAATATAGTTAATTAAGCAAAATACAATTATTGATACATAAGGATACATTAACACAATATAAAAATTGCAAGTCAGAAACAAGAAACAATGCATTTATACAAGCAATACCTACACCCACTTCTTTTACAGAAGTAAATTAATATAACTGAATTATCAGACTAGAGATATTTAGAAAATTGTTTAATATATGCTCATTTTCCTTAGAGTTTTACTGTAGATAATTTAAAAGCTGTTTTGACTTCTGTTAAAGTTCAAGTTATATAGTATAAGTTTATCCTTTCAGGCAAAACTTTGTTTAGTAACCCAGCTTCATGATTTACATTCTGCCAGCCCTTAAACAAGAAATCAGCCTATGTTGTCTTTATGTCAACACATACTGCACACTCACCTGTGATCGACAAACATTTAATTTGGTTTTTAACTCATCTCTTTGACATCTCAGCTCCAGGATCTTCATTTTCATCTTTAATATCTTCTCCTTATGCTTCTTTATTTCCCCTTGTTTCAGTGTTACGTTGCGGGCAGAATCCTCCAACATTTCCAAATGAGATAATGTACCTGCAAAGAATATATGCAAAGAAAAAAAATTTTAATATAAAAATCATACCCAATTATCTTCACAAACTGAAATAAACTGGCTTAGAGTCATTGACTGAGATGAGTGGCTATAGAAACTGAATAAACAAACTTGTGATCAGAAATCTAGCAGGCAAAAATTATCCTCTTCTTATAAAGTTTTTATAAGATTTTATTTATTTATTTATTTAACTGCCATTATGGAGTTCATTACCTATCATATATATTATACATAATTATGTACATACACACACACATATAGTTTATACTATATACTGATATATTATCAAAATATTAATATTTTTACAGATTTTCTGAAAACTTCTAAAGTGCATAATTCAAAGCAGTAAGCAAATGAATATTTCATAAAAATATATTTCATAAAGTACATTAAAATTATTGAACTTGTCTTGTTTGTACACATGCTTTTTGTTATAATTATAGATATTAGATAGGCAATACATTAACTTAAGACCTAATTATAATTAGAGAATTGCTTTCTAATTGTTCAGTATTAATTACCAAACTACAGCATTTGCTTGATTTTCCATTCTGATAAGCAGCACTCTGTACAAAACCCAGTGAATACTATACGAGGGTCCATTTTACTTCCTTTAAACTAGAACCGAGTAGTTACCTGCACATTACTGCCTGTTAACTTACCATTTGTAGAGGAAATGGCAATTTTGTCCATTTTTTACTTTCAATTTCAAAAAGCCAAAAATAATAATCACACAAGATTTTCTTCTCTGGTTCTAGAAGGGGGGCAATTTCTTCCTGCAGAATTTTAACACAGAAAGAATGGCTTAATGAATGTCAGTGTTGAAAAGTTAAATTCTGGAATAGAATTAATCATTTTCAGAAAAAAATCCATGGTTTAAACAGCTTCTTTACTCAGTAGGTACCTACCGGTAATCTTTTTTTAAGCATCAACCTCCTAGTATAACCACATAAGTCAATTTCCCCACTGCCATCCTAATGCACTGCCTTATAATCCCCACCATCCTTAGCCAGAAGAATTAATGGTTGAGAATAACCAGCATTACAGAAGTCAATACCTTCGGAAGCCTGTCTGGCTGTTTCTCATTATATTTTATACTCGTTTAAATTCCTTGTTTAAGCACCTCGTTTGAGCTGGCAAAGGACCTCGCGGCTCTCTTTAAGAATTGCGAAAGAACAGCGACCTCCGAAACCAGGGAGCCTGGAAATTATTTTCGGAACTGTTGTGGCGAATGAATGTATGCTATTCCTACCACCGCTTCGCTTGTTGTTTCTATTTTTGAAGCTGCTGAGATGACCGGATAAGCCACCCCATGCTCTGTCTCTCCCTTACGGGTGAGAAATTCAGGAGGCAGGCCGGAGCCCCAATCAGGAGGAAAGGGGATTCTAAGGGCTCCCGAGGGCAACGGCAGCGGTCTTTAGACTCGAGCGGCTCAATCGCTGTGTAGACGCAGCCAGTTTCACGACTTGCCTGGGGGCCTGCTAAAAACTCACTACGGTCGCTTCAGCAATTGACCGAGGGTTGGGTTCAAAACTCCCGCCCAGCAACGACACACCGCCCTCGGAAGTGCGTCATTCGGACATCGGGGCGAGACTTTTCCTTCCTCCCGAAATGACTCGCGAGTGAGTCTACCCCTCAAGCACTCTATCTCAGCCGACGCCGTACAGCAAGATGGCTAACCCCACTCCTTAAATTATTCTCTTGTACGGAAACGGATGCCTCCCTTCATTTATCTTTTTCCCAGAGTTCCTTTAGGAATTACCTCATTTCCGGCTTGAGAATGGCGGTGGCGGCGCGCTCTTTAGTGCAATACGTGGTACTGAGGGGCGACTTGTTACGCGAGCCTTTCTCGTGGCCGTTGGGGGCCTCGGTGGCTCAGGCTTGCCACGCGGCTTTGGCCGTGGTCCACGCATACTACGAGCACCCAGACACCGCGGCTTATCTAGCCCAGGATGGCAGCATGAGGACCGTGGTGCTGGAGGTGAGCATTGCCTAATGGTGTTTCTCGACCTTGGCAAGTTGAAGATGAGTGGACTTCAAGTCCCAGAATTTCCCAGACCAGCCCTGCAAAACGGGTAGTATCAATGGTGTTGCATTACGTGGCTGCATTAACCTGTGGATCTGAACACCAGTATTTAATAGGTTTCCATGCGTGATCCTGATTTCTGCAAGCTTAAGCTTTCGCCAAACTGATGTTCCCAATATTTGCTATTGCTTTTTCCCTTTTTCAGCTGGTTGGGAAGGGAAGGGCCTAAGTTAGTCTTGAAAGTGCCATGAGGTCGATCGTTTCTGTTTTGGCAGGCGTAAACGGGTGCTGGTCCTTTGAAGAGTGATTACTGTACTTGAAAGGGTTTCTGCCGAGTCAAACCATTGAAGTGTTTTTCTAGAATGGGCTTTAACCATAAACAGGAGTAACGAGAGCATAAATGGAAATGATATCTGATTGTTGAATAAATACATAAGATTTCTGGAATCTAACAGATAAGTTTGGAATTCAACAGATTTTTTTCCTATTTTCTGTAAAAAAAATTACTTTGCGAATTAGGGTGTTCTAATCAGCAAAACTGCATACAGGAGATTGGACTGGACATTTTGGATCCAAGCCTTTGCATTGTAGCATTGATTATATCCAAACGATGGAGGAAAGGAATGGACAGATAAAATCTGTGTGATGCTATTTTTAATGCATATTCTGCTTCAAGAGCTCCTGAGGGAGGGGTGTGTTTGTGTATGTGTGTGTGTCTGAATAAAACACCAGTTTCTGGCAGTGGTTCTCAACCTTGGGTCGGGACCCCATTTGGGGTCGAACGATCATTTCACGGGGGTCGCCAAATGCAGTCCGCCATTTTTTCCCTTTCCTTAGCTGTGCTACTCCCTTTTATTCTATTGGCTTTTGAAAGCCAATAGAATAGACTCTCTTGAATAGTCTAATTCTATTGGCTTTCAAAAGCCAATAGGAATTGTCCAGGCTGTCTCTGCCCTGCTGAGCCTGCCAAAAGTCCCATTCTGCAAATGGTGCTGCACCAGTTGAGTAGTCCTCGACTTATGACTGGTTGCGTAGTCCTCAACTTACGACCGGTTGGGGGTTGCGGCATTAAAAAGGTTGAGAACCACTGTTCTAAGGCATTAAGATGCAGTGACAACTGTAATTTCTTCCCAATTACAGCGCATCTCTATGCATCACAGCACAATATTACGGCATAAAATTCAATGCATTGTATAGACTGGGTCTTTGTTGTAAGTGCATTTAGAATTGCAGTTATTGCCATCTCTTCAAAACAGCAGTTTGTTATAGTTTACTACCTAAAGTACAACTGATGCTTTTTGCTGTTTTCAGTTAAGCAGATAATTCTTGAAGTTGCTAGTCATTGTAGCTTTAGCAAGACAGAGGTTATGAATGCTATAGCAATCTTTGATTCTATATTGCACTGATATTGTTTTCCTTTGTTTCTTAGGCTCCAGATGAGTGTGCCTTGAGCACATTAGCAGACAGACTGCAACAGAATGGCATTGATCATAAAGTCTGGATAGAACAACCAGAAAACATAGCTACTTGCATTGCCCTCCGTCCTTACCTGAAGGAGCATGTACATCATCATCTAAAGAATTTCAAACTCTTGAAATGATCCTTTTTCTCTCTAGCCACGAACACAGTTGACCAGATAAAAGTATATTTCACTTGGCTTTTTCAGTCTCCCTTTGCAATATAATGGAAGCATTATGAGATGCAAGAATTTACTTCAATCAGAGCATTTCATAAAGATACTAAAAAATAATGGATTCATATCATTAGGAGGCAAGGCATCTCATGGTATGGCCTAACACAGCTTTCTCAATTTAAGAGGAAACTTTGGGTGCCTTAATATTATTGAAGAGGGGATTCAGGGTATTAAATCACCCAGAAGTGCTTTATTGCTGAGATGGGTGGCATATAAATTTAATAATCAGGATTTGATTGCTTATTCAGATTTACATTAGAAAATATTTTGGATAGCAAAATATTCTAATTTCTTTTATCTGCACTAATACTACTATAGTGGTAGTTCATAGATGCAGAAAGAACACTTCTGAGCTTTTAGAAAGCTTTTGACAAAATCTCAATAAAAACATAAAATTCATGAATAAAGAAGATGAGGCCTCTTAACACTAGTCCTATGTACTTTAAAGCAGAAAAATATTTCTGCAAAAACTTTAATAGCATGTAATTCATTTAAGACAGTTATTTTGATTTTATACTGTATATCCCAAGTGGATGTATTGAATAATGCATTCCATATTTCTATATTGAAATCATGGTCTGTGTTGAAATATTTTATTAGCCTCCTGCTGAAAAAGATTATGGCTTTATTATGGCTGTGGTTTGGGGCTGCTTTCATAGCCGGGATTGGCTAATCAACAGCTGAAAAACTATTAATTAAATATGTATAAACTTGGATGAATTAAACTAAGTGAAGTGATAATGCGTAGTTTCCAATTCTGTGATACTGTGAATGACAATAGAAGAGCCAATATATACCTCCAAAAGAGGAGATGGAATTACATTATATGTAAGAGATCGCTACATCTTTACAGAAATGTATAAAACCAAGGATGAAAGCCTCCTAGAATGCACGTGGGTCAATATAAAAAGAAAAAAGAATGACAATGTCACAGGTGTATATTACAGGCCACACAACCCAGAAGAAAAAAAATAGATGAACTTTTTGCTAAACATTTAACAAATGTATGTAGGAAATAGTAAAAATGGTAAACTTTAACTACCCTGACATCAGTTGGGAGACAAACTCTGCATTAAGTGGGAGATTGAATAGATTCCTGACAAACCTAGGTGACAACTTTGTCATCTAAAACATAAGTGAACTAGAAGTCAGCTATACAGGACCTAATTCTTACTAACAGAAAAGAAACGATAGAGGGGGTTAAAGTTGCAGGAACGTTGGGGGGAGTGACCATATTGTATTAGAATTCAACATAATACAGACATAAGCAAACAGTGTCTTAGACTGTAAAAGAACTGATTTCAGCAAACATAGAGCTTGGGAAGGATTCCATGGATAAAAATTTTAAAGGGAAAAACAACTCAAGAACCTTGGGAAACCAAAAAATGTCATGATAAAAGCACATAAAAGCATCATAAGAGCACAATACCACTGAAAGAAGAAACCAGCACAGTTGCACAAACAACTCTCTGATACACTGAAAGACAAAAGTAAAACATGAAAAGAGGGACACATAACTAAGGGGAAATAACAGCATATAGCCTGAATCTGCAAAGATGAAAACAGGAAAGCTAAGGCTCAGAATAAACTAAGATGCAACAAATATCTCAATAAAAAAAAGTTTCAATGTATAAAAAATAAAAGTCAAAGAAACCATCCACTTATGGGAGAAGATGGCAAGGAAGTGGCGGGCAGCAGGGATAAAGGAAAGCTGCTTAATTCTTTGCATCTGTCTTCATAGGAAAAAAATAGCCCAGCCTCCCAAAAACAACTAAAGAACAGACTAGAAATTCAGATTAAAATAGGTAAGAAAATAGTAAAAGAACATTTGTCTACTTAGATGAGTTCAAGTCATTAGGACCCAATGGATTACATTCCAGAGTTCTGAAGGAGTTGGCAGACATGATCTTGGAACCATTGAACTATGTCTTTCAAAGATCCTGCAACACTGGGGAACTACCAGAGGACTGGAAAAGAGCTGATGTAGTTCCCATCTTCAAAAGAAAAACCTGATCCAGGAAACTACAGACCAATCAGCCTGACGTCAATACCTAGGAAGATCCTGGAAAAGATAATCAAGCAACAGATCTGCGAACACCTAGAAGCAAGTCAAATTGTAACCAGAAGCCAACATGGGTTTGTTAAAAACAGATCATGCTGTGACTAAGTAATTAAATTAGTGGACCAGCAAAAGGCTGTGGACATAATATACTTGGATTTCAATAAGGCATTTGACAAAGTAAACCAGAACCTACTTCTTGGAAAGCTAGAAAAATGTGGAATAGACAGCATCACCACCAGATGAATTCATAACTGGCTGACAAACTCCACTCAAAGTGTAGTCTTTAATGAAACTATATGTACACGGAGGGAAGTAAGCAGTAGGGTACCCCAAATTTTTGTCTTAAGCTCAGTACTCTTCAATATCTTCATAAATTATTTAGATGAGGGAATAAAAGAGGAATCATCAAATTTGCAAATGACAGCAAGTTGCCAAGAATAGACAACACCCTAGGTTGTTTCTCTTCTTGATTAGTTTCCATTGTTTCTTGTCTTGCCTTCAGGTGCTTTGGAAAATAAGTTGACCCCCTTTTCTTTGTGGCAGCCCCTCAAACACTGGAATGCTGCTATCATGTCACTCCTCGTCCTTCTTTTCTCTAGACTAGCCATACCTAATTCCTGCAACTGTTCTTCGTATGTTTTAGTCTTCAGTCTTTTAATCATCTTAGCTCAGTGGTTCTCAACCTGTGGGTCGGGACCCCATTTGGGGTCGAATGACCATTTCACGGGGGTCACCAAACCATGCTGTCCGCCATTTTTTTCCTTTTTTTCTAGCTGTCCTACTCCCTCTTATTGGTGGCCACACCCACTTGGGGGTCACCACAACATGGGGAACTGTATTATGGGGTCACGGCATTAGAAAGGTTGAGAATCACTGTCTTAGCTGCTCTTCTCTGCATTATTTCCAAAGTCAACATCTTTTCTGTAACGTAATGACCAAAACTGAATGCACTATTCCAGGTGTGGTCTTACTAAGGTTTTATAAAGTGGTACTAATACTTCACATGATTTTGATTCTATGTCCCTGTTTATACAAACAAGGATTGTTGCTACTTTTTGAGATTTTTTTTCAATCTTTCAATTTCTTGATATTCTATCCAAGTACTAACTAGACCTAATCTTGCTTGACGTTTTAAAGACCAGTCAAGATTTGGCTAGGTGCTGTATAGTGCTACAGTATTGAGGCATGTTCAGTAGAATAAATATATTTAATCCTTTTTTGATATTTCATTGATGCTGGTTGATTTCTGTAAAACCAAACCCTTGCATGATTAGAGTGGCAAGAGAGCATGTTGGATTTTGGTATTTAGTTCAGGCCTGAGCAGTGAACACTTTCTCTCCTAGTTTTTATTTTTTAAAATCCACATGGGTACAACTAAGAGAAAATCTGAACTTTAGAATGCCACCATCTTCTAGGGCAGATCTCTGCATCTTAGAGATGCCTTGAATTATTGTTAGTCACCTGCTGAGCAAACTCTGTTTTATTATCAGCCCCTTCCTCTCATGATCCTGTATCTCTTCCAAACTGTTAAAAATATAACTCCACACCTTTTCTAAGCAATAATGCAACATCAGCCATTAGGTTTGTCTCTTTGTGTTTTAAACTCTTGCAAATTCATTTAACAAAAGCTACACAGTTTTATTTTCACACATCAACAAAATTTCAGAAAGAGAGAAAAGAAAGAAATCGCCCACCCCTTCCAAAAGCAATGCTATTTAAGAGCAATCCCCAACTAAAAAGAGAAAGAAACCAATTTATACAAGAAGTCTGAGCTATTTACATTAAAAGGCCTGAGGGGGGAAAAGTATTAACTTGTCTCCCATTCCACAGAGAAGCGCCTTTTTATTATAATCATAATCCGTATTATTTTAAATAGTTTTATGCTATCTTGGCTGTTAAACAGAATCAAAAACAAGTGCTGACTGCTCAATTTAAATCACTATTTTTTTTTAAAAAAAAATCTGCAATAGTGGCCAGAACTACAGCTTGAATTTCTGCTGCACTTCCTCCGTTTCATTTTTGACAAGAATTGTCTGTGGCCCAGCGTCTCTCTCACAAATCCCATGGAAATGGGTGGGATGCACTTGGTGCATTGCTTTCAGAGCCACTTCCTCCTCTCCCCCTAAAAATAATTGCAATTATCCCCCAAATGGATTTACATGTTTTATTTTCAACAATTATATTAGTTTTCATAGGAACTCTCTCGATCTGTTGTTCATATACTACAAAGGCCTCTTTGTCACTAAGGAGGCTGTCTATTTACCAGCATAAAACATGAAAAAAACGGTGGGGCAAAATATTTATTATTATTAATATTATTAATATTATTTTTCTTTAAAACTGACAAACTCACGATTGCTAAGAAAAGCTGACTGCACAAACGAATTGGGGGCAAGCAGTGAGCAAGGGCGTACATGTTTAAGAACAGCTAAGGAACATCCCTTCCCAAAAAAGAGATGAGCGTGCACAATTATTTGCCCATTCCTGTTTTACTGAAGATGCAAATCAGTGACAGATCCAGCTGAAACTGAGACTTCAACCCCTTCTCCTCCACCTCACAGCAACATGCCTTCCGTTTTGCTCTCCCACCCCCACCCTCAACCCCACTAGTAATGTCCTTCTGGGAAAAGAAGCCAGCAACTGATTATAAAAATAAGGATAATCTGTAAAATTTGGCTCAATGGTTCTGTCTTGTCACTTTGCTGAAATCCATCATTGTTTAAAAAACCAAAAGGGGAGGAGGGATTTTTTTTTCCTGCTCCATATACTACAAGAGCTGAAGAATGGCTGCAAGTTTTTGAGATACCAAAAATCTCAGAAAAATATATAATATACATATATATTTATATATATATATTTATATATCTGTATGTCATTATTTAAATTTCACATTCCTTTGAAAAGCAGGTTATTCAGTCAGTAGCTGCTGAAGAAGACTTTTCTGCTGGGCTTGGGGGGTCTGAGAGGCTGTGCTGCCTTTCTGTGTATCCACGGAGCCAGGCTGGTTCAGGTAAGGGTCTCCGCCCACCAAGTTGACCGTACACTGCACATCAGCAAACACCTGGACCTGCTGGACCTGCCAGGACACAAAAGAAGCTATTAGCCAAGCGTGGGAAAAGGCCCCCGGGCAGATGGACTGGGTACTACGGTGAAGTGGAAACTCACTAGAGAATTCCTCTAGCCTGTAGTCACCACAGAGAAGGGCTCTTCTGTCTTCTTGCCCTACAAAAAGAAAACCGCTGCACTCATTTGGATCAGAGCTAGGTAAAAATTCACATCTTCTCGCATTCAAGACAAGATGGGCTACCCTGGAGGTTCCAAGGTTATTGGTCGTGGGGGAAGAGGAGGACAACATGGGGACAACAAAACTAAGTTTGGTCTAGTGGTTAAGGCATCAGGCTAGATATCAGGAGACTGAATTCTAGCCAGCCTTAGACAGGAAAACTGTCTGGGTGACTTTGGACCAGACACTTTCACTTAGCCCAATTCATCTCACATTGGTGGTTGTGGGGAAAATAGGAGGAGGAAAGAGTAGTGGGTATGTTTGCCACTTTTGAGTTATTTACAAAAATAATAAAGGCAGGATAAAATATCTACACAATGATAAAAGCTGCACAAAGATTATGAATGTATGCATGCAGGGCCCAAGAATTGGCAACTAATATTATGAATCCTA